AAAAAAAAACAAAAACAAAATAGAAAACGCTTAAAGTTGAAGTTAGTATTCTTTTTAGTTTTTTTTATATTGACACTTTTACACAAGAGTATTGTGAAATAGGCATTATTTAAAATTTCCAATAGAGATAAGGATTTTTTTTTACTTCAACTAAACCCCAAAATAAATTTATAAATCCAAAGGAAAATTTTGACTAAAAAAAATTCAAAGGAAAAACATAATACCTGCAAAAATACCATAATGCCTTCAAATTTTAAGAAATACTATTTTCACAATACTTTCTAAAAATAATTCTGTTTATGCAATATTTTTTCACAATTCTCTTTATGCAATTAAGTTTATATTCTTATAAAAAAAATCTGATTTATTTTCTTTAAGGTGAAAAAATGGAAATTTGCTCACTTTTTTGTAATTAAAACATTTGGTTTCAGACAAAACAAAAAACAATTCCCAATCCATTTTTTATTTCTATATTTGCAGAATCCAAAGGGTTAGAGAAACTTGAAAGCTCTCTCACTCTTGCTCTCTCACTCTTGCTCTCTCTTCAACAAAGCAAGAAGTATCAAGTAACTCCCAAGAAGAGATTCTCCATTCTCTGAGCGTCTCTCTCTGTGGATCTTACTTCTTTCAGATCCAGGTTTGTCTCTTCCTCTTTCTTGTTCTCATCATTTCTCGAAGTGGGTCTCTTCTTCTGCTTAGTCTTCGTTTGGTTGCTGAGAAAAGCTATGAACTTGAAGTTACTCTGCTTCAGGGTAATGCAGAAATTGAAAAAAGTTAGGGTTTTTATGATTTATACTAAGTTACTTAATTAGGAATCACTTCTCTTTAGTCATTAAACTGTAATTTAGTGAGCTTATGGAAAAGTTTAGGTTTTTAATAGTGCTTCACTGATTCCTACTATAGTAGTCACTTTACTTATTAAGTCTTTTTGTTTTGGTTGCATTGATTATGGAATCTAAACATATTGTGAAATTGTAGTTTTCTTTGGAACATTTTGTGTTCTTGAGTGTCAAGAATGGAGGAGATACAGTCTCAACCGGATTTATACCGTTCGTCTTCGTCTTCTGCAAGTAGTCCTACTAGTAGAGTTCCATCTAGTCACTTTTTCTATGTAAGAAAACCCGGTTCTCTTCGACAACCTATATCTTTTGAGGATTCTCCTGAGTGGGAAGACACACCTGATGTTGATTTAAGAATGGAAGATGAAGTTGGCGGTGGTGATTCTATTAATGATGCTACAACAACTCCTGTTTCTCCTTCGCTGTCGAAGATGAATAGCGGTTCAATGGCTTCTCCTCCTGTGCCTGAAGGAGGAGCTGGTGTTGTTAGAAAGATTGCAGGTGCTTCTATTGCTTGGAAAGATTTGACTGTTACTATGAAGGGGAAGAGAAAATATTCTGATAAGGTTGTAAAGAGTTCGAATGGTTATGCGTTTCCCGGGACTATGACTGTAATTATGGGTCCTGCAAAATCCGGGAAGTCTACTCTATTGAGAGCTCTTGCTGGTATGGCATTTTTCAGTTTATTCATTTGTTAGTTAAGTCTTGTTTGTTTTTTTCATTTGACCTGATCACATCTTTTATAGGAAGATTGCCTCCTTCAGCAAAAATGTATGGCGAGGTGTTTGTGAATGGTTCAAAATCACATATGCCTTATGGATCCTATGTGAGTCACTATTGTCTATAGTTTTCTTGATCTTTTCTTTTGTTTTGTAACTGTGTTTCTGATTCTTGTTTTGCTGCATTGCAGGGATTTGTTGAGAGGGAAACACAATTGATTGGTTCACTTACAGTTCGTGAATTCCTCTACTATTCAGCACTGCTGCAGCTTCCGGGTTTTCTCTTTCAGAAAAGGAGTGTTGTGGAAGATGCGATCCAGGCGATGTCTTTGAGTGATTATGCAAACAAATTGATTGGTGGTCATTGTTACATGAAGGGTCTCCGAAGTGGTGAAAGAAGACGTGTCTCTATTGCTCGTGAACTTGTGATGCGACCGCATATCTTATTCATCGATGAGCCTCTTTATCATCTTGACAGGTTCTAACCATTTCTAAACTTATGTTATTTTCTGCCATCTAGGACAAGGTAGAATCTTACATTCTAAAATTAGCCCATTTGCTTTCTTTATAGTGTTTCGGCGCTGCTTATGATGGTGACACTAAAAAAGCTTGCAAGTATGGGATGTACACTTGTATTCACAATATATCAAAGCAGTACTGAAGTGTTCGGTTTGTTCGATCGAATCTGCCTTCTATCAAATGGAAACACGCTCTTCTTTGGGGAGACACTGGCTTGCTTACAGGTATATACTGTTTCGAACCTGGAAAATTTTCCCATATCAAGGCCAAAAGCTCACTCTCTAAATTTTTTGTACTCCTTATGTGTCTCCTCGAAGCACTTTTCAAATGCTGGATTCCCTTGCCCGATAATGCAAAGTCCATCAGATCATTTTTTGCGGGCTATAAACACAGATTTCGATAGGATTATTGCAATGTGCAAAAACTGGCAGGTACATATACCATTTTACAACTAAAGTTTATATGATTGTGTTTCTTTCTAGTTTCTTGTAAACGTTAATTTTCTAATTATCTAAATATAAACGACAGGACGATAATGGGGACTTTTCAGCAGTGAATATGGATACAGCTGTTGCAATACGCACTCTTGAGGCGACTTATAAATCATCTGCAGATGCTGATTCCGTCGAGACTATGATATTAAAACTTACCGAAAGGGTAATAATCGTGTAATGATAATTTTTGGATCATAACTAAATATGCATTTGTGTTAGTATATCTAATTTTCTATTTTGTTTCCTATATCATTTGCAGGAGGGCACACAGCTTAAATCCAAGGGAAAGGCTGGTGCTGCTACACGTGTTGCAGTGCTCACTTGGCGATCACTTTTAGTTATGTCGAGAGAATGGAAATACTATTGGCTCCGACTTATCCTTTACATGATTCTTACACTTAGTATTGGCACATTATATTCTGGCTTAGGTCACTCTTTGTCTTCTGTTGCAGTAAGTTTTCTAAACCATTCTCAGCATGCAGATTTGAGTACCAAGACATGCAATTTATTGTCAGATGTATATATTTCTTACAGACAAGAGTTGCTGCTGTGTTTGTTTTTGTCTCCTTTGCCTCACTATTGGGGATTGCTGGAATACCATCACTTTTAAAAGAAATCAAGGTAACTATTTCTTCTTTTTGATTTCTCTTATCTTTGATCACTTCTTCTTTTGAGCTCTGAGTTTACTTTTTTCTTCTAATAGATATATAGAAGTGAAGCATCGAACCAGCATTCGGGTGCTTTTGTCTTCTTACTAGGGCAGTTTCTGGGAAGCATACCGTTCTTGTTTCTCATGTCCATTTCCTCAAGTCTTGTGTTCTACTTCATGGTCGGATTAAGAGACGATTTCAGCTTGTTAATGTACTTTGTGCTCAACTTCTTTATGTGCCTATTGGTGAATGAGGGATTGATGCTTTCCATTGCTTGCATTTGGCGAGATGTTTACTGGAGCACTTTGACTCTCATCTCTGTACACGTGAGTCTTATCTTTCGTACTATTAATCTAATTTAAGATTCATGTCTTCTACCATTCTATTTGTTCTATCTAGGATTTGGCATAGATATTGAATGTTGATTTGGTATACTAAATGCTAGATAGTACTCGATTTACGACTTAGGGAAATTTATGCACTACAGCGTTCAACCAGAACTAGAATGGTAATTTTAGTCTAAGTCAATGAGAGTTGAAGTTAAGAGTGATTATATTAGCCCTTGGCTTATAGAACTTGCAACTATTGCTTACTAATAACTTAGATTACAAATGAGAGTGATTCGTGCCTTAAGACATAGATTAGTCATGCCTTAGGATTGATCTTTCATTCTTCATATGCATCATTTCAGGTGATCATGATGCTCGCTGCAGGCCACTTCAGAATCCGTAACGCCTTGCCAAAACCCGTCTGGACTTACCCGTTTGCTTACATCGCGTTCCACACCTACTCCATTGAGGTTACACATTCAACACTTTAAACAATCTCTGCTTCTTCCGCGGAAAACTCATGAACGTTCAATGTTGCAGGGTCTTTTGGAGAACGAGTACCTCGGGGAAGTGTTTGCGGTTGGAGAAGTGAGGAGTATATCGGGATACCAAGCAATCCAAGGAAATTACCAGATATCTCCAGACACAAACTCCAAATGGAGGAACATGCTTGTCTTGTTGGCTATGGCTTTTGGCTACCGTCTTCTTGTTTATGTTTTACTACGTTTTGGCCTAAACAAGAATGTGTCTGATCGTTTACTGCTTAGTCATAAGAAAAATAACAGTTCTAGGTAGATCAATGATGATGATTTTAGATAATATTACTTTTTAGTCCCTTATGTAATTTTGGTAGTTGAAAATGAAAACAGTTAAATTCTTTTTTTTTTTCCAGAAGTTTGGGTGAAATAAAATAAAAACACTTCTATTTGAGTGTTATGGCTTATAAATGTTTAGAGATGCCTTGTTATATTTCTATTTTAAAACTATATAAATGGGGATGATATGTGAACGTGTATGATTGAATATTTGAATTTTGAATGATTGTATGAAAGATATGTAGTGGACAAAAAATATAAATAATCTAAAAAAGCGTAACTGGGACCCCAAAAAGGTCATAATCACTAATGTTTTTTCAAAAATTGGTATGATGCACAATATATGAAAAACAATAATGACTAAAATTGAACCAAATTTTGGTTTTGATTAATTTCAGTTTGACATCTTTAATTCCAAATTAAACCAAAACCAAACAAGTTAAACTAGTGAAATAAAACTTTTAATCCGATTCGAGCCTTACTCGGAAATGATTGATTATTTGTTGTAACGTTTAAATCTAATAAAGACTAGTCTCGATTCTTGACAAAGACAAAATATCGATTTCGGTCCATAACTTCTTTAAAAAAAAAAAAAACTACGCTAATCCAAAAAAAAAGAAGGTAAATTAAAATTTAAAAGTGTATAATACTTTCCCCAAAACAAAAATTGATACAATTTTGATATTGAAATTTAAGCTTTCCCATTTGATAAACCAACCTTGGACAAAAGTCCATCAATAAACAAACCCAAATTCATCTCAGAAGAAGATCCACTGTTTCTCACCGCACCTTCCAAACTCATTTTAACCCGTCCGATCTTCTCCTTCGAAACACCACACATCAAACGGTTAATATTCCTCCCAACTTCATCTCTCCCAAAATCACTCTTATCTTCACAAAGATTAATCCCAATCTCCCAATCATCAACCACAAGCTTCCTATTCGTAACCTGATCAGTCAACAATGGAAAACACAAAACTGGAACCTCACACCAAATCGTCTCCAATATCGAATTCCAACCACAATGAGTCAAAAACCCACCAACACTCTCATGTGACAAAACCGTCATTTGACAACACCATGGTATTACAATCCCACGATCTCCAGCTTCTGTCTCAAAACCTTCTGGTAATGGATTGGTTTCGTCTGAACTAACAATGTCTGGTCTCACCACCCAAACGAAATTAACTTTACTCAACAAAATCCCGTGAGCGATTTCGACAAGATCTTTCTTTGTGACATGAGCGTAACTACCAAAGGAGACATAAAGTACTGAGCTTTTTGGTTTAGTGTTGAGCCATTGTGTGCAATCTGATTCAGACCAAAGTGATGTTGTGACTGAAGAAGAGGAAGAACCGGTTTGGTTATTGAATGGTATGATTGGTCCGATTGCGTAAAAAGGGATTTTTGTATTAAGGGCTTTGATTGTTTTGTCTTCGAATTGTTGTATTGTGTTGCAGAGAACGAAATCGACTTTTTTCACGTCTTCGAATGCTTTGAAGATGATTTGATGAACTACTGAGGAAGTGTCTGTTTCTTGAAGATACGACGCCGTGTCTTTTGGGTTTATTGCGGCGACTCCGGGAATGTAGTCGATTAGATCGCGGCGGGTTTCTGTGTCAGAAAATAAAGTTATGGGGGAGATTTAGATAATTAGATAAATTGAAGGATGAGTTTTGTAAATTAGATATAGAATAAATAAAAGTTAAAGAAAGTGAATTTATTGGACCCCTGACATTATTCACATGCATCATTACATGACAAAAGTAAAAGTCCCTACGCTTTTATGTAAAGTCCCTACTCTATTATTATTATTTTTCCCATATTTATATCGTTACGTTTACTTTTTTTCCTTTTTGGACGGCAAATCGTAACGCTTATTATTTTAAATAAATAATTTCATTTGATTTTTTAATGTATATGATTATGGTAGTAAAATTATAAATAAGAAAATAAAGAGGATCAAAAATACGTTTTATGAAATAATAATATAATAAGATATTTGGTAAAATAGTGTGATATGATATCATGTTTCTTTTTCTGATAATATAATGTGATTTCATGTAACATTAGTATATTTAAAATCATATAATGTGTATTATTTTTTATTTTGTAAACAATAAAATGTTTTTTTTTTGTAAACAATAAATGTTTCCAAAATTCAATAAGACACATAAACCATACAGAAAAAATAACTTATGTCCAAGTAAACAACTAAACATGCAATGAAATGCTCACCAATTATTATTTTTCTCCAAATCTATCTTGCATTTCAAAATAATTATAGACGTTGACGAAGACCAAAAAAAGATGTTTTCGTGAAAATTTGAAAGATCTACCGTTATTATCAATGAAATAAAATAGGAAACAATTAAATATTTAAATGAGTAAAAAAAATATGTAAAATTAAAGAAAAAGAAGAGGATAATTAGTAAATTACCTTGAGCACCAAAATGGCCATGAATCCGAAGCAGATCCATATGGTAATAAAGTGAAAAAACTAAAGCAGCTTCGGTCCAAAACGAGACACAAACCAAACCAAACTTCCTAGCCACCACCGACGGCCAAACAAAGAATGTGTCGGCGATCATAACATTCACACCGTCGTCTCCTCCGACAAGACTCGCCACAAGCTCTTCCACATGCGCATAGAACACGTGAAGCAACGACGATTGGTACGTGTCATGGTTCAAAGACCGGTCAAATCCGACCGGTAAACCATCGGAAACCGTCGCGTACCTTATGTCAAGGCCAGACTCTGACCTAACTCCGGCGAAAATATCTCCATCGGAGCCGTTTGTGATCTGGTGGTGGATGTAATGAGTGTTGACGAAAGTGACGGTGATCCCTTGAGATGCGAGCTTGATGGCTAAGTGTACAAATGGGTTTACATGACCTTGAAATGGATATGGGATCAAGAGAGCATGAAGATGATGATGACGATCATGATGATTTTTTTTAGGGTTTTTAACGTCCGCCATTAAAATGGGTTTTGTGGAGAGGAAGATGAAGAAATGAGAGAAATTTAAAGGTTATATTTTTTTGTGTTTGTTTTGTGTTTTTTTTTTTGGGGATTAAAATAATGAAGAAGAATCTGTGATTAAGAAAAAGAAAACATATGGGGCAAGTTGGGAATAAATGAATGACTTTGCATTGATTCGCGGAAATAGCCATAGAAGTGGATGGTTAGTGGCATTTCTATGCATTTTCTTCATTTTTGTTCTTTTCCTTTGATTTATAATATAAATTAATGATTTGTTCCTTAAAAATATCTTTTATCTAATCCAGTAAGATGTCATGGAGAAAATCTAGTTCCAATAAAGGGTTATGACCATTTGGATTAGGATGGCGAAAGTTTTGAAGTTGCTTAGTCAAAGTGGTTCATTTGTCAAATTATATTCTCCTAATTGTAAACGAGAAAGAGAAAGGCTGATATATTCATTTATGTAGAAGAAATGGAAAACGAGTAAGTTTTGGGTTTTATCAATAATTCTATACTAATATTTTTAAAATACATTTTTAGCGGATCGGTTAAAGTGGTTTCGGACATAAATGGTATCCGAACTGATAAAAATTTGGTTGGATCAGGATATATTTAATCCAATTCTTACACCGATATTTGCATAAACGTTAGGTAAAAATATTACCAAAATTAGATCGTGTCCACTAATTATGTTTTAATATTTAAAAATAAAGATATTTAGATTATTTGGTTCTGATTTAAATTTATGATTCTTGTTTCATATTTGTTTGATTATTTTTTAAATTGTTTTGAAAAAAAATAATGTCCGTTTTTTCTGCATGTATTGTGATTCGAAATTTTAAAAACGGACATATATATTACCCAATTAATGGAAAAGTGTGTTCAACGTCTCATATCGTCTAAAATATTTAGACAATGATTCAGAGTCATATTATAAATAAGATCAAAATAAATCCAAATCCAAATGATCAAAAATCTTAACTTAACAAGCATCCAAATTTAAAAGTTTGTATACGAGTTAATTCGGTTTTTAGTTATTCATTTTACAGAAATATTATAATTGATATATTTGAAAGCAATAAAAAGTTTATAATATTATGAATATTTGAACATATAAAAATAAAAAGCAACACGTGTCATGTTATATTACGGGATGGCGGGACGGGTTTTAAATCAACATTAATATAAATTTAAAATATCATTAATTCGCCCCTTCAATACGGACGGATTAAAATCAATAAAAAGTTTATAATATTATGAACATTTGAACATATTAAAAAAAATAGCAAGGTACGGATTATATTGCGGAACGGATTATATGGCAGGACGGGTTTGAATTAACATTAATGAAAAAATTAAAATATTATTAACTCACCACTTCAATCCGGGTTAAACCCAAATTTTATTATTCTTTAACACCACGACTATTAGATATATCGAATTAGCTTGACTAAAATAAGATTGTATAAAAACAAAAGTTATCTCGTGGTATACCGCTACTTAATAATAATTGTAAACTATAAAAATATAAATGTCTTATTAAATGATACTATTTGCAAATTTTTATATTTAATACATAATCATTAAATTTAAAAAATCACTACTTTTAGTAAATAAATCGTCACGCGGTGTACATCGGATTAAAATCTAGTTATATATTACTAGATTAAGACCGGTTTTCAGTTCTTAGAAGAATTTAAATATAAAAGAAAATTAATAAAAAATTATTGTAGGAAAACGATATCCAAAGCTTTTTAGAAAAAAATAGAAAATATATTTAGTTACTCAATAGAGTTATATACATATTCTTATTTTTTTGAACAATTACTAAGTATCACTCTTTGAATGGAGGAAGTCATCGAGGCAATATGTTTGTAAATAAAGAAGTGTTGGAGTTGTATCCTTTGAATTAAACCCTGGAAAAAAAAGAAAGCTTCATGATAAGAAGAAGATGAAGAAAACTAGAAAAGAGAAGAAGCAGAAGCGACACAAGAAGAAAGGACACAAGTCAACAAGAAGAAGGAGTTGGGCTTTGTGTGTTTTGTAAAAATGGTAGCATTGGGCAATTAGTTAAGGCCCAAAGAAGAAAGAGTGTTATTGTTAGGTTAAAGCATAGCTAAGGAGGACTAAGTATAATATTTGTTGTAGTTAAGGTTGCTTAAGTGAACCGTAGGATAATTATGTCTAGAAGTAATGGCTAGTCAGTATAAGTATGGATGCAAGTGTATGTGGTAAGTAGAGAAACCACTATACGTATGTGTGTGAGTTGTTGTAAGAAACCATCCTTTGATCCAATAACAAAACGTAGTTCATACATTTATTCTCTCTCTCTCTCTCTAAGTTACTAAACTGTTTATCAAAGAGACACAATAAATAAAGAGAATTAGAGAGAAAGAGTGAACTAACTTCTAACTGTGAAGAAGGTTAGCGAATGTCAACAAGAAGCTATGTCAAGAGAAGCAAACATGATTGTAGCACTGAGAGAAGGCAAGAGATGGAGTCACGTCTATTTAATAATCTGACACATGATAACTATTCTACTCATTTATAAATTATTAATTTACGTTTATATTTTCAAATTTAATTTAGTAATCCGGTCTAGTGAAATCAAGTTAAGCCACCATCCAAAAACTGATGTAATTCTACTTCATGATTCGGTTACACATGTAACATATTCCAAGCTTCAATAAGATGTTAAACTTCAATATAATCTTTTTTTCTCTCGAATATATATTATGACCGCTCTCTCCAAGTTGAACATAACCTTGGTATGTATGTACGATGTAGCCGGTTAAGCTCCATGTTTTCCCGACATACTTTTCCAAGTGGCCACAAGTACCCATTTATATGCATAATAATTTTTAATTATTGTTTCATATTTATTGGCTCTTGTCATTGTTGAGGAGCAAGCAGCAGGGACCAACAGGCATCAAAATTTTATTTATTTTTGTATCGACATTAAATTAAAGTAAGGTTCTTTCATTTCCTTACACTAGTATTTCCTCGGAATTTGAGATTTATAGTTAGGCTGTGTGGCTAAAAAATAGGAGTATTTTATGGCTTTGATATTTTTGTCTTCATGATATAAATTTGATATTTGACTGTTCTACACAACAACAAATGTAAGGTGTATAGTCCCATTCGAGGTTTTTGTTTTTGGTCTAATACAGTTTTCAAGTAAATAAGGACACCTAAGGTTTATAGAGGAGATCAAAAGCCATAAATATTTTTCTAGATGCATCAGATTTGATGTATTTTTGTTTGCTGATCCAACAGATTTGAGCTCTCATTTTTGTCTAAATATCTGATTTTTTTTGTTGGGTTTCCGTAAGGAGCACTCTAGCAAAAAGTACAGATTCATACTCCTAACTTATTTGGTTGTTCTCTTTATTCTTACGATAGTTTTTGTTTCAACTTTGACATTGGTTTTGCCAAATATCAACAGATATTAAGTTTACAAATACCTCTGGTGGTGAACCTTCACACGTAATGCATGTGTTGAACGTATCGTACATAATGTTGGTTTGGTAATAAACACACATAAAATCGGTTTGGTTAATCGATGCTTATATAAAAATATGATCATAATTTTCTATTCAACTCTCTTATCTAATAACCCTAAATTGTACAATCAGTTTCCAGTAAGACGAGAAATTAGGTGTGCGATTAAGAGACGGTTTTTTTTTTATTGTGCAAGTTTTTTTGGTAGAAAAATCTTTTTACAGAGATTTAAAAAAAAGGAATTGGGGAGAACTTTGAAAAAATAATCAAAAGGACAATTCATAGTGTGGAAATTTGTCGTTTTTTTTGAATTTGTAAGCAAATTCGATGACAACTCCTGACGGAATTATTTTAGAGAAACACCATTGCCAAAACCAGTCCAAACTAGAAATCACTTTCACAAATTAATGCCAACAGCCAACGTATGATCTTTCTATAACAGTGTGAGTTGTACAAAAATGTGACTTGACATTCAATTTACACATATTTCCATTTTTATGTATTTTTCTTTAATCCAAATTTTCCATTTATATATATAAAGCTATATTAATCAACAAGTAATCATCAAACTGGGTATGGATTGTAGTCTAAAGTGTTTCAAACCCAATTTTTTTCTTTTGTATTTACATATAAAAATCTTAAGACATTCTATTTTTGGCATTGGTATTGAAAAATAGAATATCTTAAGATATTTTTTCTTTAACAAAAACAATTTTTGAACTATGAATTTTTCATAAAATATTATTGTAGAATAATACAAAAGCAACTGTCATAAAATGAGATTTAATTCCTTTTATTTTCCTCTCTTCATTTGCATTTACAACTTACAAAAGAAACTTGGATTGAAACATTAAAGATTGTAGTTTCATTTGATATTTAAACTTAAAAACCAAAACAATTGAATCCTACATAGTCACTGTTTTAAGGAAAAAATGTTAGAAACTATAAAAGCGATAAAACTTTATACAATGCCCATATTTAGACACGTCCTAATCAACTTCTACCAAGTCATGTGTGGGTATACATTATAGGGAGATATGGAGGGGGCACTGATTGAGAAAATGCAAGTACGGATTGGTGTACATTGTCCTACCATTTCTCTTGGTTTTATGTGTATCGTCCTACTGTGACATACATTTATGTATATGGTAAAAAACATCGATAAAGTATCTACAAGACTTAATGTCTATAAGAGACGTCTCGTATCTCTCCACATCAGCTTTTACTTGTCCTCATGCTCTACCAGTGTGAAGTTACTACATACGAACCAAAGCTATAACAAATATCGGTCCCCCACTTTCACTTTTCCAATCCTAATCATGTGTAAGAATATTTGAAGTTTGTCAAGTGGACTAAGAAGGTCAAGACATCGAGGCTTGTTTGTGTCTAGGCTTCGTGTATTATTACTACAACATCTTGCTTTAGAACAATAACATCCTAGGGAAACTATAATAAACACACTTTTGATGAGATTTTTCAACTACTAATCACCATTTCATACAAGAGTCCTAACTCAAGTCATTTTTTTTTTCTTTTCGCCAAAAGTCATAACTCAAGTCCAACAACATTGAAACAACATTTTTTTATGGATTGTTTCACGATAGAAAATATTTAAAACCACTTATTATTGGACCATTTTATTGAGTTTTGTTTTTCTAATTAAGATTAAAATTAGCTGTTCATTTTGCAAGTTTGAGGTTATAGAAGATAGCTTATTCATTAGATCGATACCAATTGCATAGTGAAAATCTTATGTGACTAGGAAGCACAAGAGTCCATCTAGTGAATAATTCGGTTTTATTATGTAATATGAAGTAGATCAGTAATAACTACAGCATAAATTCTAACACCATTGTTCAGTCAATATCATCCGTAGGTGGCTTGGCCGGCAAGGTACCATCAAAGCTCCATCGTGATAGAACCCGTATTCCTCCTCTGCTTGTTCCAAAAGCTTCCGGAACATAGGGTGTTCTAGAAACATCAATGGGACAACAAATCTTTGTGTAGGCTCATGATACCCATCAACGGCTATCACCGCAAAATGACCTTCCTTCACGTCTTTTGGGACACAATCACGGTCATATTCTTCGGAACACGGTTTCTTGGCCGAGGAAAAGCCTTTGATTTGCACCAACCTCTCTACAACATTCTTGAGCTTCACAATTCCACCCATTTTCTTCTTTGGCGACTCAACTGTAATCATTCTTTGCCTCGTCATGCTAAAAGATTAAGTGATCTTTTCCTTTTTTTGAGGGACTTTTTGGTTTCTTTGAAAAGTATATGTTCGAATATAGACATGTAAGAAGGAGTATATATAAGTAGGAATGGTACAAAGAGGATAAGAAAGAAGAGGAAGAAATAAGAAGGAGAAGTGAGTAAGGGAGACCAAAGCATGTGGCTGAGTTGGTTATTCAATTTGCCTTCTTTTGAATTTTCTACGACTGCGGTTTCCATTGTAAGTTAAAAAAGAAAAAGAAGTTCTGTTTACCATCTTTAAAATTAACATAGCCCATGGAGTAAAACTAAACCATGACGACCCATAAAAACCCACTAATTAAGATTATATAAGTTCTACTCTTCATTTATCACATGGCAAGTTTTGAAAACTTTTCAGGCCTTATTTTTGTTTTCAAACTTCATACACAGAGAGTATTAATAAATTATAGGTGCGATGACTCCATTTGATAACTTACTATGCTCATATAACACCTTCTTTTTTCTTTTTCTTTTAGTTGTCAAATAGCCTCTTTATTTTTGTTTTGTTTAAATTTTTTAGCCTCTATTTTTGTTTTGTTTAAATTTTTTAGCCTCTTTGTTTTTTTTTTGTTTTTGACAAAAGATGCTTCTATCTAGCTCTTGTTTATATTAGATTTAGTTCTAAGGCAGAAGCAAAATGTTCGGTTACAAGAAATAAGGAAGCATTAGTTGTATGGGAGGAAAGAAAAATATATGAAACATGACTGATAACTTTAGTTGTATTGGCATGAGAAAAAAAGAAGATTTCATCAATGAGGCAAAGCGGGATAAATTATCCAACTCATTTAGTACGTTTAGACCGAGAATGAAAGGTAGATTATGTAGATGTCGATATTTTCTAGATAAAAATGTAAAATTGCAAATTCAATATATTGACAGAAAAAGAGACATAAAAAAAAGGATAATTCATATGCCTCATACTAAATAGACGTTCCAACGTAAGGCTAGAGACGACATCTCTATTCTGTTTATCTTTTACCAAAAGTTTTTTTAATCTTTACCAAAACTCTCTAGTTGAAAATAATCTTCGCAAACGAACCCGTCTTTCAGAGAGTTCGACACTCTAGAAGTCTTTCCCTATTCAATGGATATAACTGCCTAAATTTCATTTTTGTTCCTGGTTCATCATTCGTTAATAATTCCAGAAACTAAACTTACACTTCTTCTTCCTATGGCAATCGTTTTTACGACTTGTTCCTATCTAACTTGAATATCAGAAAGTTCGTGGGAGGAGAAACAATTTTTATGGCATCTCGAGAGTCATTCTAAGGAAAACACATATCGCACCGAAAATTTCATGGCCCGAGAGTCGAAATTTTACAAACCGAAAACATAATTGTTTAGTTTTGATTCAGATTCAAACTGTTTTGCCTTATTATCTTTTTACCTTATTATAGCCTCTATTCTTTTTCTTTTTGAAAAAGGGCTTTCAAATAACTTACATTGCAATGACCTTTTGGGTCATACAGTTTTGAAATAGTAATTTAGAGAGAAATGCGATTAAGAATACACTTAACCAAATATATGGTCGAAGAGGAAGCGGGAGATCAAAAGAAAAACTAGCTCACTAGAGACAACTAGTTAGTGTTTCCACGACCACGAATAATCCTCTATTCTATTGAATCAAATAAAACTTAAAGACAAAAACGAAATTAATCCCTTATAAAACCAAAAAAAAAAAAACATAAATAAGCAAACAACGTAAACGGCTAAACCTTTTCTACATATTTTCCACGTTGAATCAAGATTGAGATGTCATTTCCAAATATATACAGTACTTTGCGTCCTTATGAACTGTGTAGTAGTAGTACTGAGCTTTGTGCATCTGCATACAAAGTCGATCGTGGTCGGTTTTGTACTACATTTAGATCATATAAGAGAAATGTACATGTGATTTGTGATCAAAAAGATGTATCCAAAATTCTTTTATCTTTTGGACGGCAAAACACTCACATATTAATACACAGACGTGACATACAAACAGTGTCGATCGAATATAGGATGGGACGCATTTGATTCATGTGTTTGACAAATGACATGCGTACGATATTTTCCATATCTCCGAATCAATTTCATAGCTATGTGAAACCAATGTACAAGGCTGCAAGCAATGCACGTAACCAAGATACACATAACCATATCAACGTATACGAATCAATTTCATATATCGTATACGTATGAATGTATGATTTCAACTTTCTTTGTAATTATCCTATGCTGCTTCTATTTTAAAATTGAAATATTTTAAAATTTTGATCTAGAAATATATGTTACTTATACATTACTTTTTCAAGAAATCTTTGTCAGAACTTCTAAATTATATCTCATCCATTTCATCTTGGAAAAAAATGAACTACCAAAAACATAAGTTATATATATATCTTATAAATTTTCGAAAGCTCTTCCTTCTGAATTACAAACTTAAGTATTTTTCACCTACTAAATTTATATTTATTTTTTGCGGGAAAAAAAAAAGAAGATATAATACTAGATAATATTTTTGGTTATTATGATAAAACTTATATTTTTCTAGAAAAATCATGATCATTCTTCGAACGAAAATAAACCCACAATTCACCAATAAACTTTAACACGTAAAAAGAAAACGGCTATGTGGTAATTTACACACTTACCACATAGCCGTGTAAGTATCATATGGAACCAACAATAATCGTTTTTTTTTAACAACAAATTTCCTTAAATAAAAACATAAGTCGGCATTAAACATAGGAACATGAGGCAATAGAAAAGTCATTATCCCAAAAAAAGGACACTTTTGAACGTCACTCCAATGAGGAAACTTGTTGATAATATCTTAGGACTTGATGACTATATAGCAACATGACCATCTTGACATAATGTGACCTAGCTAGTTGATTAGACATATGATTGTGTAAATCATTCCACGTTGTTTATTAAAATTATATTATATGATTGAAAAAGTTGGGGAAAAAGAACATATAATGTCGTTGGCAGTCCACAGTCCAAATTAAATTTGAAAGCTACATGACTATAAGTCCCGCTATAACCACGGGCTGGTCCGACACCGTCTTTATTTGTTTCTCGTCTTCTTGTTTTCGATATATATGGATTTTGCACTTTTTGTTCAACTCTATAGATACATAAACCCGCATGTTTATGCAAGTGAATGAAATTTGGTAGGATATTTTGATTAAGAAAAAATTGTTAATTAACAAAATAATTTAATTGACCTATAAACATTATTATTTTTATCAAAATGACATCACCTAAAAATATCTAGGTACCAATTTGCTAAGGAAAGTATCTAATCTAATGATAATTACATTTGGTTCTATCCTCCTCTTTATGACTAATTAAACGTTGGACCTCAAGTAGTTTAGTCAACAAAATTTGGAGATTTATTCGGTTTACGAAAAAGAGAGATATTTTCTTTTGCTTAAACGGAAAAGTTGGTTTTTGTTGAGTTAAGCTTGAAGAGTTAGTTAACTTGAGGGATGAGTTAGCAAATAAAAGGATATAGTTTAAGAGATTTGGAAGTTATCCAAAAGTGTTTAGGAGTTATCTAAATGCTAAACCTAGTTAGACTTGGATTAGGTCTTTAGGTTTTCTATATAAAGAGATACCAAAGTTGTGGTAATCCTTAAGAGTTTTAAGAGAGAGTTTGAGAAAGAGAGAAACCATTGTTTAGTTTTGAGTTATTTTCTAAACATCAATAAAGAGAGTTATTCTTGTTGAAATCATTGTGTTCTTTCTTTTCTCAAGTTCTATATTTGGTATCAGAGCCTTAACGGGAAAGACAATTCACGATGTCGGAGTCAGGAGATGAAGATGAGAAACCAAACACGAAAACGCCTTCAAAAGAAATCGGATCCTCTGCCATAAAGTGTCCGATGCTTACTTCCTCCAATTACACTGTTTGGGCTATGCGGATGAGAGTTGCTCTTAGGGTAAATAAGGTGTGGAAAACCATAGATCCGGGAGACCCAGATGAAGAGAAGAACGATGTGGCAATAGCCTTATTGTTCCAATCCATACCAGAAGCCTTGATCTTACAAGTTGGAGACCATGACACGGCAAAAGAAACTTGGGACGCAATAAAAGGAAGACATGTTGGAGCTGAAAGAGTTCGAGAAGCTAGGTTACAAACTTTAATGGCTAAATTTGATAGAATCAAGATGAAGGAGACAGATTCAATAGATGCTTTTTCAGGGAAACTATCGGAGATCACCTCTACTGCAGCATCCCTTGGAGAAACCATTGAAGAACCGAAACTTGTGAAAAAGTTTCTCAAGAGTTTACCTAGGAAGAGGTATATACACATCGTCGCAGCTCTTGAACAGGTTCTTGACTTGAACAAAACAACTTTCGAAGACATTGTTGGACGATTAAAAGTGTACGAAGAAAGGATTGTTGATGAAGAAGAAGAGCAACCCGATGATCATAATAAGCTGATGTATGCGAGTACGGACTCACAAGCAACATATACTGAAGGATACAGAGGAAGAGGCAGAGGAGGTCGATTTAATTGGCGAGGTAGAGGCCGCGGGCGTTTTAACAACTATCAAAACGGATCATACAGACAAAAGGAAAGAGATGCGTCAATGGTAACTTGTTACCGATGTGATAAATTAGGGCATTATGCATCGGATTGTCCCGATAGGTTGCTTAAGCTACAAGAAACTGTTGAAAAAAAGGATGATGCAACACATGAAGCTGAGGAATTAATGATGCATGAGGTGGTTTATCTTAATGAAAACAAGGTAAAACCAAGTTGTTTTGAAGCTGACCTAGACTCAACTAATGTGTGGTATCTTGATAATGGTGCGAGTAACCACATGAGTGGGAATCGATCCTTCTTCTTAGATCTTGATGAGACAATAGTGGGAAAGGTGCGTTTTGGAGATGATTCACGCATTGATATCAGAGGAAAAGGATCAATTCAGTTTGCATTTGAAGACGGTAAGAAAAAGGTACTCAAAGTCTTGAAGAACATATACTATATACCCGATCTCAAGAGTAATATAGTAAGTCTTGGTCAAGCCACAGAAGCAGGATGTGAGGTACGTATGAAGGAAGAGTTCTTGACACTCTATGACCGGTCTGGAGACTTACTGGTAAAGACAACAAGATCGAGAAATCGCCTATACAAAGTAACTTTACATGTGGAAAATCCGAATTGTCTACAATTGATCACATCAACCGAGTCTAATTTGTGGCACTCACGGTTAGGACACACTAATCTGGAGACAATGAAGAAGATGATCAACAAAGAACTTGTGACTGGTGTACCAAAGCTTATAGTTGAAAAGGAAACTTGTGTGTCGTGTTTACTTGGAAAACAGACTAGAAAATCTTTTCCCCAAGCAACTACCTATCGAGCTGGTCAAAGACTTGAGCTTATCCATGGGGACCTTTGTGGACCTATCACACCTTCCACTCCGGCTCAGAAACGGTATGTCTTTGTCCTCATTGATGATCACTCCCGTTACATGTGGACAATTCTCTTGAGAGAGAAGAGTGAGGCTTTTGAAAAGTTCAAGAAATTCAAAGTATGTGTGGAACAAGAAACAAGAGAAAAAATCAAGACACTACGTACGGATAGAGGAGGAGAATTCGTGTCAAATGAATTTCAAGCCTACTGTGATGAGCACGGAATCATGAGACACTTGACTGCGCCCTATTCTCCTCAGCAAAATGGTGTTGTTGAGAGACGTAATAGGACCCTCTTGGAGATGACTAGGAGCATTCTAAAGCACACGGGTTTACCAAATTCTCTATGGGGAGAGGCTGTTAGACATTCTACCTATTTGATCAATAGGATTGCAACAAGATTTTTGGTACAATCAACCCCATATGAAGCGTTTAAAGGGAGAAAACCAAATCTTGAGCATCTTAGGGTTTTTGGTTGTGTTTGTTATGCAAGAACAGAAGCTGTGGGAAGAAAGAAGCTTGATGACAGGTCAAGAACCTTGATACATCTAGGAACAGAGCCCGGGACCAAAGCATATCGATTGTTTGATTCTGAAACTAAAAGGATAGTGGTGAGCCGTGATGTCATATTTGATGAGAGTAAAGGGTGGAGCTGGATAAATAAAGAAAGAGAAGATCACAAAGAGTCTGAAACATTCTCTATTAGCTTGGGAGAGTTTGGTAACAAAGGCTTAAGAGAAAGTGATACTCTTGAAACAGAGGAAGGCACACGGATTACTCAAACTACAAGTGAAAGTATCATAGAAGTGGAAGACGATACAGAGGAAGAAGAAGATAGTGAAGCTATGAACAATGAAGATAGTGATGATGAAAGTGAACAAGCACCACAACCGCAGCTTAGAAGATCGGGTAGAACCATTGTGAAGCCGGCATATCTGAATGACTATGTTCTTATGGCTGAAACAGAGTGTGAAAGGCTCTTGACAGTGATCAACGATGAACCGTGGGATTTTAATGAAGCCAGAGAACTCAAAGTGTGGACAGACGCATGTAAAGAAGAGCTTTCATCAATAGAAAAGAACAAAACATGGAACTTGGTTAGTCTTCCCATTGGTGTTAAGGCAATTGGCTTGAAATGGGTCTTTAAACTTAAAAGAAATGCCGATGGAAGTATTAACAAGCACAAGGCACGACTCGTAGCCAAAAGATATGTTCAGAGACATGGCATTGATTTCGATGAAGTGTTTGCTCCAGTGGCACGTATTGAAACTATTCGCTTTATCATCGCATTGGCGGCTTCTAATGGTTGGGAAATACATCACCTGGATGTTAAAACCGTGTTCTTGCACGGCGAGTTGAAAGAAGAAGTCTATGTTAGTCAACCAGAGGGATTTATAGTCTTGGGAAGTGAAAACAAAGTTTATAAGTTGAATAAAGCTCTCTACGGCTTAAGACAGGCACCTAGAGCTTGGAATGACAAGTTAAATGCTATCCTCAGAGAATTCAAGTTTCATAGGTGTTCTAAAGAACCGTCATTGTATCAAAGAGAAGAGAAAGGGCATTTACTTGTTGTGGCTGTGTATGTAGATGATCTACTTGTTGCAGGATCCTCCTTGAAGTTAATACGAGAGTTTAAAAGAGAAATGGGAACCAAGTTTGAGATGAGCGATCTTGGTAAGCTGACATACTATCTTGGAATCGAAGTGCATCAACATGAGAATGGTATTAGTCTAAAACAAGAAAGGTATGCAGCAAAAATACTAGGAGAAGCAGGGATGGAAAGTTGTAATCTCTCGCATATCCCAATGGAGATGAACCTACAACTCTCTAAATCTCGGAATGAGAAGAGTATCAGTGAAAAAGATTACAGAAGAAGCATAGGATGTCTCCGGTACTTGATACACACACGCCCGGATCTATCTTACAGTGTTGGAGTCTTGAGTAGATATATGCAGGAGCCTAAAGAGTCACATGGTGCAGCCTTAAAGCAAGTTTTGAGATATGTACGTGGAACCACTTCACTTGGTCTTTTCTTCAAGCGGACAGAAAAGGTGAAGCTGGTAGGTTATAGTGATAGCTCACATAATGTTGATTTGGACGATGGAAGAAGCACAACAGGCCATATATTCTTTCTTGATGATTGCCCGATTACTTGGTGCTCACAAAAGCAAGACACTGTCGCAATGTCTTCATGTGAAGCAGAATTCATGGCGGCTACGGAAGCAGCAAAACAAGCTATATGGCTCAAGGAATTGATGAGTGAAATATTAAGCATCAAAGGCGAGAAAGTTTTGTTGAGGATTGACAACAAGTCGGCTATAGCTTTGACTAAGAATCCGGTGTTCCATGGGAGAAGCAAACACATTCATAGAAGGTACCATTTCATTAGAGAGTGTGTGGAAAATGAGCAAGTGGAGGTAGAACATGTTCCCGGTAATGAGCAAAGGGCGGATATTCTAACCAAACCACTTGGAAGGATCAAATTTAAGGAGATGAGAAGTCTCATTGGAGTTCAAGATGTGAAGAAGGATAACTTCAAGCTTAAGGGGGAGAATGTTGAGTTAAGCTTGAAGAGTTAGTTAACTTGAGGGATGAGTTAGCAAATAAAAGGATATAGTTTAAGAGATTTGGAAGTTATCCAAAAGTGTTTAGGAGTTATCTAAATGCTAAACCTAGTTAGACTTGGATTAGGTCTTTAGGTTTTCTATATAAAGAGATACCAAAGTTGTGGTAATCCTTAAGAGTTTTAAGAGAGAGTTTGAGAAAGAGAGAAACCATTGTTTAGTTTTGAGTTATTTTCTAAACATCAATAAAGAGAGTTATTCTTGTTGAAATCATTGTGTTCTTTCTTTTCTCAAGTTCTATAGTTTAGTCAACAAAATTTGGAGATTTATTCAGTTTACGAAAAAGAGAGATATTTTCTTTTGCTTAAACGGAAAAGTTGGTTTTTGTTTTGTTCTTATATATCCCTTAAAACAAATGAAACAACTCGACATTAATCCACAGGATATGTAAAATGTATAATTAAGTATTCTTTTTAATGGTTACTTCGGATCATAGTCTCTTATTAGACAAGCTATTTTACACTACATATTTTAACCTTAAGGTTGAATTCTTGCCTTATGGCCTAAAAATCAACCCGATGTGCATATGAGTGCAATAAAGTAAACGACTCATAGGACCATATATATATGTTCTTTAAATGTAGGATCTCAAATCTTATTTTGAGAATGATTTTGCTCCGTATGAACTTAAATGCGTCAACACAAAGTTATAACCATTAACTTCTTCTTGGACAAATGAAAGCTTGAAAACATGACATACAATATTTTCCATAGTCTAGACTTTGTAAAATAAAAATGCACAAAGTGTATCGTTGGACCAACCCTAGTCAATGTAGTAAGAATAAAAACTAAATAAGGCGTGACAAAAACTAGACAATTGCGGTAAATCCATTATAGATAAACAGTAGTAATTGCTTCGATATAGATTTACGGAACTCCATTGAAGGGTTAATTTTTTTTTACCAAAAGTGAAAAACTAAGTCGACATTTACTATGTCGAAAAAAGTGGATCCTCTCCACAAAAACGTTACTTCTTCTTTTTCTTTTCTGTTTCCTATTTAGTTTATTTACCTCCTATATATATATTTTGTAATGAACTCCAAATGTTTTTGTCACCTCGAAACTCACATAACGCTGCAAAAGCTCTGATCCTCCTCACTGAAAAACCCAGTCATTGGGCCTTCCATGAACCTGTAAGGCCCAAGCCCATGGTTACAGCCATAGCCAGGTTGACCCGGAGACCCGACTTTGGTGATTCCCTCTGCATTGTCCTTATCTTTCTTCTTCTTCTTCTCAGGCACGACCTGGACTGTTTTCTTCAGCTTACGTTTCAGATTCTCAGTCACAGACTTAATGTCCATGGCTCCCATGACTGTTACCGTTTCCTTCTCTCTGTCCATTTTGACTTGATACACTCCTATTGACACAATCACATACTCAATATCATTAAACAAAGACTAAAATGATGGCAAACAAGTTCTGTTTATGAGTCAGAGTCAATACCAAACACACAAAGTTCATTTCAGTAAGAAAAAGTCTGACCTTTAGTCTTAGAGATAGTCTTGTAAATCCTCTTGATGCAACCATCACATGAACAATGCAGCTTCAGTACCACAGTGGTCACAGCAACCTAACAAGACAGTGAAGAAGAGAGAACATAATGTCATATCAAGTAATTTTGAAAGGCTAAAGTAGTTATTAAACCATATGATCACCTAGAAGATAATGGCTACTGTTGTACATTATCTACAAAGGAATGGTGAGAGTAATCTTAAGTAGATTGTTACTTGAGGCTCAAGTAAGCCTGATAAAATCTACCTCTTGATACTAGTTACTACATTTTAATCATGGTTTAAGTGTTTGTGAGAGAAAAATGTCATAATCAGAGTCTAAACGTATGCAATGAATGTATTTGAAGATGAATGTAGAGCTTACCACAGTCTGAGTCTTATCATTAGCCTTTTTCTCATTCTTCTCTTTGGTATCTTTGTTTGGTTTAGGAGATATGAGCTCCACTTTCTTCTTGCTCTTCTTCTGAAGTTTCTCAGCAACCTTCACAGGATCAATGATAAACCCAATCAGAGTCAGCTTGTTCGAAACAGGATCTGCTCTCACTGTTTCAACTCCTGATACAGTAAAAACAATCAGAACAAGTTATAATGAGATGATTATTGAGCATCGATTGCAATTTCTTGTATACCAATAAAATCATGAAACAACAAAAGTGTCTAATTTCTTCACAATCGAAGAAACAGAGATGTGTATGATTCTGAAATTTAGATCCAGGAAGAGGATAAACGTAAATCAGCGAGGAAGAGATCAAAATATCGTCAGGGTTTAGGGTTTAACAAAAAAAATCTCAATCGATTCACAATACTCGAAACGAAACAAAGCAAACGATTAACACGAACGATTCGATTCAGATTCAGCAACGTAACCATGAAAATCCACAAAAAACAGAGAAATCGAACGCGAGATTGAAGTTATTGTACTGATCGATTGAAAAAAAAAGTGCAAAAACGAGATTATAGTCAGAAGCATGACGGATTCTGGATATCGATTTTGATTTTCTAGGGTTTGAAGGGAGATTTTACCTTCCAAACGACGAGATAATCGAACGATTCGAGCGATACAACCATCGCAGTGAAAATCAACCTTAAGAACGACGGTGACCGGAGTCGGCGTACTGTTCTGTTTCTTTTTCTTCTCCTCCGAATCTCCGTGGTAACATTCACAAACAACATCCTCCATTTTCGTCTCTATCTTCTTCTGCAACAGGTCAAAAATCAAAAACTCAAAAAAAAAAAAAAAAAACTCAAAAAGCACGAATGAGAGAAGGAAACAAACACATTTGCAGAGGAAAAACAGAGAGAACCTTGATCGAGAGTAGAGATTAGAGATTGGAGTATCTCTCTGGGTTTCTGCAAAAGAAAAGTGGAGAAGACGACGAAAATGGTTTCAGAGAGACGGCTGCGTAACAGAAGAGAGAGTGTGTGTGGGTGTGGGAGGTGGTTCACAGTACGTACAACTTAGTCCTTTCCTTATTACTCTGCTTTTTCTATTTTTGTTTCATTATTAAATCGTTTATATATTAAATATTCCATTTTTTTATGAACTAAGTTATATTAAAAAAAAAATTATTAAAACCATTTGTAATTTGAGATTGGATTTTTTTTGTTATGTATGGTTGGTTAATAATTTGTGAGTTTAGTTTATAATGAAAATTGGTGTGTGGAAGTTTTAGTTTGATTTATTTTGTTGCTGATTGAAATATGATTTGGGTGAAAAAGAATAATATAAAAATGAGAAATAATGATGTGAAAATTATAGTTATATTTCTTTATTACTGAGCTTATTCTTGAAGTTTTTACTGTATGTAACAAGTTGAAAATTTTACTGTGCTGTAGCATGTATGTAATAAAAATTTGATAATTGACTGTACATTTACATTAAGCAGATTGTATAACATTGTTAACTTTTGAGCTTGTTTTCATTGATTTATATTTCTATAGTTAGATAACTTAATTCGGAATCTATTTAATCGAATAACAACACAACTTCTTATACAACTAATTTTCGTATAAGAAAATCACAATAAAATTAAAAGAGGAATTAACTTTAAAGCTTATGTTAAGATTAAAAAGAAAAAGAATGAAAAAAAAAAAAAAGAATGGTAAAGTGCAATATAGCCTTTGTACTGCAAATTATATTATTTGTTATAGGAAAAACAAAATCTTCACCGAACATGTAATAATACTCATCTTAATGTGCTCGTGGGTCTTTTAGAAGGTAGAATCATCACAAAATTCCATTAGAAAGAGACAAATTGTTGTTGAAAAAATGAGTTACAAAACCTCTAATGAGATTTAATAGGACAAAACTATATGATGATAGTTAATATACGCATCTTAATTACCATATATGTGTGGCCTTTAATATTTGATTGTAGGTCACGTGATGCGTGCATTGGACAAAAACCAATGCTTTGGGCACAAACAAATATTTATTGCGTTTGCATTAAGTTACCAACTCAATAATCACTTCAAATAAAAACTAACTAGATAACAACCCGCACGATGTGCGGGATGAAGTGATTCAAGTAAAATTATTATGATTAAAATTATTATCCGGGATCCAAGATCCGTTTGTGTAAAACAAAACATATTACAATTTTTTTTTTGTTTTATTCAAATTTGGGTTTATTTCATATAAGAATATGTTTTACCCGTGAAATTATTTGAACTTTGAATAAAACTTCAACGTGATAAAAAAGTATAGACGAAATATTACCATTTATGGCAATATGTCTTTCCGTATGTTTTAAAGATTTCGAGATTTTGTAGTATAAAAAAGAAATTTTTTTTTTTTTAATAAGTATAAGAAATCCAAAATTTAGCAAAGATGAGATTTGATAGTTTTCAAGCTAAGATTTTGTATTGTTCCAAATCTAAGATTCTTAGATTATGAATGGATTATTTACGAAATGGTTATAATGTGGCCAGATTTTGGTTTATATACAAATGTGGTTATAATGTTTTTCTTCTAAAAGTTAGAACTCCTCCAAAAAATAGGATTTGAAGTATTCGTAACATATATAGAAAGGAGATTATCTTATTTATTTAAGTAAAAAATTTATGAAAGATGTAAAGATTTTGTAGTTTTGAATTCGAGATTCTTGAACCAAATGTATATATTTTATCATTTAAATATAAACATAAATATAAATATAAATTAAAAGATTGTTTACCCATCCGCTAAAAAAAATTTATATAAATGTATATAAAGAAAAATATAAATATAAAAATATAGTAATATAAGATAAACAAAAAGTGTATGTTTTTAATTATTAATGGGAAATATGGATGTATGAGACTAATGGCAAATTCTGTAAATAGTCTAATAAATCTTGGGTAATTATTTAAATAGAAGCCAAATCATTGTGAGAGCGACACATCAGCGTGGCAATCTTGTTAATAAGACATGATGGTAAGGTTTTTTTAAAAAAATGTTTCTCTATTAATATATAGGGGATTACACACAAAGCTAAAAAGATAGAAAAGCTCAAGTAGAAAAAGAAAGAGACAACAAAACTCCATTAAAGGACTAGAGAAGCAGAAGAACAAGAAAAAAGAGTCAACTAAAATTTTTCAAGACCCATGAACTCTCAAATCACTCTTCTCTTCTTCTTCTCAATCCTCTTACTCTTCAAACTCTCAAATTCATCACCTCTAAAACCACACCCACTTCCAATTTTACCCCTCCCATCCTCCCAACAGCTCCAATGGCAACTCGGATCCATGGCCATGTTCCTTCACTTCGGACCCAACACATTCACCAACTCCGAATGGGGCACCGGAAAAGCTAACCCATCCGTTTTCAACCCGACCCATCTCAACGCAAGTCAATGGGTCCAAATCGCTAAAGACTCAGGCTTTTCCCGCGTTATCCTCACCGCAAAGCACCACGACGGATTCTGTCTCTGGCCTAGCGAATACACTGATTACTCCGTCAAATCGAGCTCATGGAGAAATGGAACCGGCGATGTAGTGGCGGAGCTAGCTGCTGCGGCGGCGGAAGCTGGAATTGGACTTGGTCTTTATCTTTCTCCATGGGATCGTCATGATCAGAGTTATGGCAAGACATTGGAGTATAACGAGTTTTATCTGAGTCAAATGACTGAGTTATTAACAAAGTAAGCTCCTTTTTCTCGTATCAGTCAAATGGGTTGGTGAATCCAATTCCAAGTTGTTAAAAAGGTTGAATCTTTATTAGGTATGGAGAGATTAAAGAAGTTTGGTTAGATGGAGCTAAAGGAGAAGGAGAGAAAGATATGGAGTATTTCTTTGATACTTGGTTTAGTTTGATCCATCAGCTTCAGCCTAAAGCTGTTATATTCTCCGACGCCGGTCCTGATGTCCGGTGGATTGGTGATGAAGCTGGTCTTGCTGGGTCTACTTGCTGGTCACTCTTTAACCGAACCAATGCCAAGATTGGTGACACTGATCCTCTGTGAGTCACTCTCTAATGTTCAAACTTTCCATAGATGTTAGGGATTTCAGAGGTTGTAGCTTGAAGTTGTTTGATCTTGTAGGTATTCTCAGGAAGGTGATAAATTTGGGCAAGATTGGGTACCAGCGGAATGTGATGTATCGATTCGACCTGGTTGGTTTTGGCATGCGTTGGAGTCGCCTAAACCGGCTGTTCAGCTTTTGGATATATACTATAACTCGGTTGGAAGAAACTGTCTCTTCCTGCTTAATGTGCCTCCTAATTCTTCAGGATTGATATCTGAGCAAGACATCAAGGTTCTTGAGGAGTTTCGCGAAATGAAACACTCTATTTTCTCGAATAATCTCGCCCGTAAAGCAGTAGTTAACTCGAGCAGTATTCGTGGCGGTCAAAGTTCGCAGTTTGGTCCTATGAATGTTTTGGAAGAAGGGTTAGACAAGTATTGGGCGCCAGAGGAGAATCAAAAGAAATGGGTATTGTACTTTGAGTTTGAAGATCCGGTTAGTTTCAATGTATTGGAAATTCAAGAACCGATCCAAATGGGTCAAAGGATCGCGTCTTTCCATCTCGAAACATGGAAGACTGGAAGCGGAAAGTGGGAGAGAGTTGTGAGCGGCACTACGGTTGGGAACAAAAGGCTTTTACGATTTCTGAAGGTTGAGTCACGGTCTCTAAAGCTTGTGGTGGACAAAGCGAGGACCGACCCTCTTATATCCTACCTTGGAATCTACATGGACAAGTTTTCGGTGTCGAGTAGAAACTCAACAAAGATAACAATCACAAGGACACTAAAGGAAGAGCAACAACTACATGATTTGTAAGAAATAACTCTCAAGGATTCACCACATAAGTGTTTGGCTTTCTTGACATTATCATTTTGAATTCCAAAGTCCATAAATTACGTTAAAAGAAAGGACTTTTTTTTTTCATTGACAAAAGTTTGGAGATTTGGGTCTAATTATGTAACTCGGCCCAAAATGTTTCCAAGAGAATTTTATGGAAAGGAACAAACTTTGGTGAAAAACAGAGAAAAGCCCTAAAGTAAAAGAAAATGGAAGCCACTGAAACGGTTCTTTGCTCGTTGCTTGCCGTCGACCTCACCGATTATTGCTACAGAGTTTGTTCTCGCTGCCAGAGAGTCCTTCCTTCAGATAACAATGGCCTTGTTTCTTCTTCATTTTGCAAATTCTGCAAATCAAAAGAACCAAAACTTCTCTATCGGATTCTCGTAAGAACCCTTTCCTCTTCTTCTTCCTTTAAGCTGTTCGTTTTTTAGTGGAATAATTCGAAAATTTGTGATTAGTGTTCTGTGATCAAGAATCAGTTTTGGTGAATCTGTTAATCTTCTGTGAGAACTGTGGAATTGAGAGAATGTTACTTCAAAGTTCTCACCTTTATGAATCTAACAGATGTCTGTAGTTATAGAAATGGTCTTTGTCCAATGTAGTTTTATCAATAGTCAAGAATCAGTTTTGGTGAATCTATTAATCTCATGTGGAATTGAGAGATTGTGACTTCAAAGTTCTGACCTTTATGAATCTAACAGATGTCTATAGCAACAGATACATCAGTGAAAACTGTGATCTGTTTTGATAGAGCTGCCACTGTTCTCTTTGGTTGTTCAGCTGATGAGTTCTTCCACTTCACTAAACTCAATCCATTAGCCGGTAAAAACTCATCAAATCACTTAACTAAAAGCTTGAGAAGATTTCTGATTAGTCTTTTTTTCAGATGATTCTTTTAATGTTTTGTTTCCATTGCAGCATCAATGGTGAATCAGGTCTTTGATGGAGAAATGCTAAGGATGACATTAACTCGGCCTCACAACCGAAACGCGCAACACATGAGAGTGACATCAATTGTTCCTTTAAGATCAGGATTTCAGCCTGCAATTGTAACTTTGAGACATATTTGCACAAAGAATGCTTCTTTAGGGAATTGTTCTACAACAAATCACAGTTCCTAATGTTGGAGTATACATATAAATGCTACTATCACTAGTTGTTTGATATCTTTTCTACACATTATTTTGTCCGAAATACTCTTAAGTAGTTGTTAAGTTCCTCCTTGGATTAAGTTCTAACTTGGTTGTTAGAAAATGACTTAATATTTGATGTGGAAACTTTAATCAAGTCTCTCCTAAAGTTCATTTGGTAGATTTCCTAACAACAAATCTTGTAGATTCTAATACCTTTCACATTTAAGGGCTTCTTAAGTTATTAGGTAGATAGTCATTTGTGGTGTTAAAATTGGCAAAATTGCGCTATCAAATGTTCGTATATGCGTGGATCGTGTATTTAATCACATGTGTTTAAAAATAACATATTATTATTAAAAAAAACACACATATTATCTGATAAAATAACATGAAATTTGTTAAACTTTGAGTGAGAAATTGTATCAATTATTTTGCAAAAAAAAAAAATTAATCAGTTTGGTTAATTACTATGAAAACTACTAGTCAGACTTCCCGCCGCGGAGGAAAAAAATTTAAAAGATCTTTAAAGACAAATATATCAAAATTCATAATGAATGGAGACAACTTTAAAAAAAAAAAAAATTTAACAATAAATGAAGATATATTTTACAAAAATTATGATAAAGATATGTAACCCTCAAAAGCATTATTATGATTTATCTTATTATTAGAAAACATTATGGTGAAAAGATGCGATCATAAGTAAGAAACATTAAACGAAGAGTTATAATGAATAAACACAATTTTTCAAAATTTTAAACAATTACAAATATAATTATATAAATATATTCAACAAATTATGATAAAAAGACGCAACATTTTAAATTGTGTTACGTTAAAAAGAGACAATCCTCCGAAAAAACTAACAAATAACCTAAATTAATAGTTATTAAGGAAAAAAGTAATAATGATATAGATAACAAAGTATATACATGAATGCAAGATAGCGAAAAAATGCAAATTATGAAAAAGTATCAAACAAAAAGTAATAATAAATATACACAACTTTTCTTAGAAACGAGAAAAATATATATTAAGTTAAAAAGACATGAAAGTTTAAATAGATTAAATTAATTATTGAAGACATAATTATTGAAAAGAAGAGTTTGTGATGAAAAAACACAAATAAAACATGGTGATAAGATACAACTCTAAATGAACAGATATAACTTTAATTAATGCCCTCAAAAATCTTTTTAAAATGACAAATGTTGCAACTGTTCATCAAAAATATACCAAAAAATGTAATTGTTTATCAAATAAACTATATGTTGCAACGGTTCATCAAATATACCAAATGTTGCAATGGTTCATCAAATAAATCAAATGTTACGATGGTTCATCAAATAAGCCAAAATATTCATTGGTTCGTCAAATAAACCAAATAATACTATATTGAATTAAACAGTAGTAAAAATTTATTTAAATTATTTTAAACAATAAATTGAGGTAAAGCGCAATGAATATACTCATGTATAGATAGGGCTAGATATCATATTTTACTTATAAATGATACATGGTGTGACAGGGACGGTTATGTCAAAACTAAAAAAGAAATTATGAAGAACTATAATTGAGAGACGCAGCCGTAGATATCAAATATACTAAAAGTTGCAAAGGTTTGTCAAATATACCAACTGTTGAAACGGTTTAATTAAAAGATTACAATTTCATTTAAATACATGTTAGTGAATAAAAATTTAAAATAGTAAGTTATAAAAAGTTTAATTAAATATTATAGCGTTTTATAAAATAAAGGGAAAAATGTCAAAAAAATCATGAACTTTCAAATTTGGGACGATTTAATCTTGGACTACGATGAAGACATTTAAATCATAAAGTTTTTGTTGACTTTACAATTAATTAGCGAAGTTTGTTTGACTCACCATTTTAGACACATCGATTTCATTTTCTAACCCTAAAATCCCAATCTCTCTCTCTCGCTTCCCTCTGTTGAAATTCCGACTGATGATGGCTAAAACTCGTGGGGGGAAGAGAAGAATTCCGGTTTGGCGGTCACCGCGACTGAGTCAAGCAGCAGCCGCGGAAAATTTCGGACCAAATCCTACGGAAAATTTCAGACCAAATCCTACAGAAGCGAAGCTGAGCTTCCGCGGCTGCTGCTTGACTCAGTCGCGGTGACCGCCGAACCGGAATTCTTCTCTTCCCCCACAAGTTTTAGCCATCATCAGTCGGAATTTCAACAGAGGGAAGCGAGAGAGAGAGATTGGGATTCTAGGGTTAGAAAATGAAATCGATGTGTCTAAAATGGCGAGTCAAACAAACTTCGCTAATTAATTGTAAAGTCAACAAAAACTTTATGATTTAAATGTCTTCATCGTAGTCCAAGATTAAATCGTCCCAAATTTAAAAGTTCATTATTTTTTTGACATTTTTCCCATAAAATAAACCAAAAATTGCATTTATTCGTGAAATAAACCAAATGTTGCAATAATTCAACTAAACGGTTGCAACTATTTATGAAGAGTTACGATCAAACGATGCAAATGTAGAACACATTTATTGGGATTTCAACTTTCTAAAAAAACACAATCGTAAAATATATTTTAGTTTCAAAAACAAATGTTACGACAATTTGTAAAAAAAATCAAAAGTTGCAATTGTTTGTGAAATAAACTAAATGTTTCAATGGTTCAACTAAATAGTTGCAACCGTTTATGAAGAATTACAAGAAAAAGACGCAACTGTAGAAGACATTTATTCGGATTGCAAATGTTTTAGTTAATGTAATAGCGATTTACAAAATAAACCAAAATTTACAATTGTTCGTGAAATAAACTAAAACTTGAATTGATTCAACTAAACAGTTGCTACCGTTTGTGAAAATTTACGGTAAAAAGACGCAATTGTAAAAGATATTGGCTTCAATTGGTAACCATTATTTAAGAAAAGAATTAGAAGGAATGTGCTATTCCTCTTTGTTCCTCAATATTTTTACCATTTACAAGTAATATTTATTCCACATCATTCCTATACATTCCTCAACACAGGAATAATAGAACAAAAATGTTCATCTCCAAAATTGATGAGGAACAAAATGGAACAAAAAAGGAACACATAATAAAATTCGTTATTTATTTTAAAATAAATAAAAAATAATGTTTATCAATAATATTTGTATTTTAATATATAATCATTATCATATATTTGTAATATATTAACAGAAAATATTTTTGATACGAATTTCATGCGGAATTACTCTTAAGACTTTATTTGAAAACTATATGAATAGTAAAGTAAATTTAAAAATGTTTCTATTCTATAAGAATAATATCTTTTAAATTATTCTTACAATTTTATTTTATGTTAATATTAACTATTATTATTTAACATCTACATATACATTTTTACAGGGGATTTTTGCATAAACTCTTTTGGATCCGGGTTTTACCCGGTTTAATCATATTCGGATCTAGGATAAGAGTTTTAAGGAATGTTGTAATAAAAAACGTCATTAATTCTTAAATTACCCATTTATTTTCTGTTTATCAGAAATTAAATAAAAGATATTACTATTCCAAAAATCTCTCCAAAAATCTCTCCCAATAATCTCGACTCTATTGGCTATGATCCCAACTAATTACTTCCACATACCTTTTCCGAGATTTCTTCTCTCCAAAATCTGCAAGCAATGAATTATTTAGAAACTAATTTATGACTCTTCAAAATCAAAATGGTAGCATATTCCTAAATACAAAACGATTTCATAGATTTGATTCCATATTAGTTACGGTATCGAATATATTATGCTTGGCGTTCAAGAGATTTTTGACCTAATTTATTAGCCTATAAGTACTATAAAGCTTGACGTCTCAGAACATCATCAAACACAAAAGCAACGATCTGAAAAAAAATAGCAAACGCATCTTTTTCTATATAACAATCTCACAATACAAAAAGCTCACCTGTAAATCAGAGAGAGAGAGAGGGAGAACATTTACGATGCCGAGAGGGAGATGTATGGAAAAGTCCTGTCACCCTGGTATTTCAAGTTCCATTTGTGCAACTATTGTGTTAATAGCATCTATAATCTCCATATATCTTCTTTGCATCACCTGTGAAAAAAATGAGATATGAGCTATATAAAACTGTATTTATAAGCACTGGTGAGTAGTGATAAAGAAAGTATTAGTGTTTGTTTGATTTTAAATTTCAATATGTAAGTAATCTATCAAATGTTGTAGATATAGTTTCATTAGACATCAATATTTCGACCACATACTAACAGTGACACTTAGAATCTTCTACTACCCCATATTCCTTACAACTTATGGTTCTGTTATTTTGTTACTAACCTTTGTGGCAGAGACAAATTATTGAGTCATAATGCTACTTCGATTATTCATGGTCTTTACTCTCAGCTGCAAAGAAAAGCAGTGGTTTAGTTTCACAATTCAAATTGTATAAATAGCACAGTATAGGAATAATAATGATTACTTATCTTTCTAATGGTAAACACTTCTAATTGTTGTCATCGTCGACAAGATATTCAACATGTTATTAGATTCGGTAGACAATCATGTAATGTAAAATAGTTAGCATAGTTTTGAAATAGCTAACCTGTATGGATTTAATTGCAAAATCTATAGAGATATGAACACAAATTTAAAACATAGAACATGTTCAGAACCTTAACATCTATAATTTAAGAATTGTCTTTCTATAAATCTCATGGTTTTGCATCTTCTCAGCAATCACCTCTTCATTACTAAAACACACATACGTATGTCTATATATTATGAAGACAACCACTATTTTAACTCTATCTATATATACATATTTGAAAACAATATTGACTTCTCTGATCTTTACTAAATATAACATTGGAAATCAGAATCAGTTTACCGGACGATATAACCTAATTGATTCGAAGTACAAATCTATTTGGAAGTCTTAACACTTTTTCACAATCAATTTTAGAACTAGAATGAAAATTGATCAATAATTAAAGCAGCAACAACTATTGAAATATAACCTTTGTATTGACACATAAATAGAAATCAGATCGGATTGGTTGATTTTGAGTCTACATGGGTTAATTGCATCTTCAATCACCTCAACCAGTATCATTTGGCAAGATAATTTCGCAAAGGCCTCTTCGAATCAAATCTCTCCATTGTAGATCTCGACACGAACACGGAGCTTTTCGGAAAAGGTTGATTTCGGATCCCTTCGTAGATTGCTTTGATCTGGAGTTTTGGAGAACGTTGTTTTAATAGGAAACCGTAGCAGACACTATCAAGGGACAAAAGTAGGGCAGCGGTTTATATGGTGAGCTTTGAGAGCATCGTCGACCAACAAAGAGGGAAGACGTCATGGGAATCGCCAAAAAAAAAGAGATTAGCTTCGAGGAAGATGCAATAGCGATTCTGGTTTCGACGGAGAAATAGAAAGCGACGGAGGATTAGTAGCCATCGGGTTCAAAAGCTTAGCCTCACCGAGAATTTGCCGACGAACGTGGTGTTGGCCGGAGCTGCCGTCGTCGGGGAAGAAGCAAAGCAAAAGAAATCGAAGAAGCTTCGTTATCATCGTTAGTCACGTTCAGTTTTGTATCGAAGAAATCGAAATCGTTGGGCAAGAAGCAAAGCGAAAGAGGAAAAAAAAAAGATTTTGTTGGGTGATTGGGCCTGCTAAAGAAGTAGAATAAAAAAGTAGACCGAGCCCAAAGTGATGTTTGTGAGATAATGGGTCCCAATCTTCTCTTTCTGGCCCAAATATAATAGTTTTCCTCTGATGTTTAAATTGGACCAAATAATTGTCAAGTTCATGGAACCTGCAACAGAAAGCAACGTTAGGGTTTGGAAAAGAGTGGCATAAGTGATGCAGCACAAGAGAGACGTAAGAGAAACAAAGAGAAGTTGAAACATGTTTCATTTTTTCCATGTAGGTAAGTCATTTCAAAAGGCAATGTTGAGAACGAAACATACTTATAAGCTTCTAAATTTTTGGGGCCATTACAAAAAAAGTTTCTAATGCAAAATTTCGACACCATGTTGTTGTGATCATACTATGGGGCCATTATAAATCCAAAACACTTTATCTTCTAAATATACACACATTTAAAACTTATATTTTTTTTTGCACTAAATATAAATTCATAAATTCTATAAATTTTATTTTTACAAAACTCAATATATTCAAATGAAATCAAATACAATATCTTATGTGTGTAATTTTATAAAATTGGAAATGGCATAATTTGAGTACAAGTGAGTGATGTATTGGAAATTTTTATAAATCTATTTTGACTAAAATGAAATTGAAATTGACTAATTCTACCATTTATAGATATATACAACTCTCAATATCAATATATACATTTAAATTAATTAAAAAAATTCATATATGTCAAATAAAATATTTAAATTAATAATTAAAAAAAAATCAAATAATATTTAGGCCCGCGGTGTACCGCGGGTTAACATCTAGTGATATATATAAATTTAGTTCACAAATTTTAGTTTGAAATTAAATATTATATATTAAATATTAAATTAATTAAATATAAAAAATATTACTATATATTTTAAAGATATTATTATTGTTTAGTTACCATTCATCCATAATAGTACATTTTATTCCTTCTCTGCATCTTTTTTTTTTCGTTCCTCAAAAATTGTTTGTTCCATTCCGCATTGTTTCTTTTATTCATTTTTTTTGTTCTTTTAATGGTTACGAGTTGGAGCCATTTATTCGGATTGCAACTTTTTAAAAGAAAAAAACAACAATAAAATATATTTTTTAGTTTCAAAAAAGATTAACGAGAAATTGCAGTAAAAAGATAATGTTCACAAATCACAACAGCAAAAATATTTATTCTGATTGTTATTATTATATAGATTCTAATTTCAATTCTCAGAGTAGTAATTAGGGGTGTCAAAATGGTTTAAAATTGATGGATCAATCCAAACCAATCCAACTCATGGATCTAATGAGTTGAAAATTTGGATATTAATGGATTAATGGATTAAATGGTTTAATGAGTTTAATGAGTTGGATTGAAATGGTTTGGTTTAGATTGGATTACTGGGTTATCCATAACCAAACCAATAAAAATTATATAATTGAAATCAAATATGTAAACCAAATATAACCGAATTGAATCACTAAACCGATTTTAGTAAACCGAAATAAACATAATTTTCTTAAATCGCTTAACCATCGATCTTTCTCGGCGTCAAATCTCTCACTGTCGATCCCTCTCAATCTTATGGTTTCACCGGCAAATCCATCGACAACGTTAAACGACGAAGCCAACAACGCCGTTCACCGGCAAAGCCACTGACACTCGAATCCCTCATCGTCACTCATGGAGTCCTTGGTCGTCGTTTTGTGATCAAATTATGAACCAATATCATAGTTACAAGTATTTCGACGACGACGACGACGACGACGAAGACGGCGACGACGACGACGACGACGACGACGAAGACGGCTACGACGACGACGACGACGACGACGAAGACGGCGACGACGACGACGACGACGAAGACGGCGACGACGACGATGATGGTGATGGTGATGGTGATGATGATGGTGGTGGTGGTGAATTGATGACGATGGAGTGATGAAGATGATGATGGAGTGATGATGATGATGGTGGTGGTAACATGATAGTTACTAATTATCAATTAATTAGGATTTAAATTATAAGAAAACTATGTTATGGATCAACTCATTAAATCCATTAATCCACTCATTTAAATGAGTTATGGGTTAATCCAAACCATTTGCTAAATGAATTGGATTGATTCATTAACCATTAAACACTAAATCAATATGGATATGGGTTGGTTTGGTTTGGTTTAACCAACTTGACACCCCTACTAGTAATATACCCAAAGTTACCCCAGAAAAAAATAATATACATGTGTCAAAATTGTATTGGTTTACAAGAAAGAGTTTGACCTTCTAATAACAGACCTATTCAATTTCTTTGACAAAGCCTCCAAAACTTGCCACGTGGCATCTCCCTCTCTTGAAGGAACATTAAACATAAGGGCCCGCCTAACAGACGGATCCTCCAAGTTTCTCTGTATGACTGACAAATTAGTAGCCGCCACGTGTTCCAAAATCTCACCGAGTTTTCCAACGTCTCTCTCCGCCACCGTGAGTGAAATATCCGGCCAACGTACGGCGGAAGGGAACGGCAAACGGATCCCATCGGCTATAACCACCGGTACACATCCAAGAGCCACCGATTCAACAAGTCTTGGGCTCCACGGTGCCCACCCGAGAGGACACAAACAGAAAACAGAACGAGCTATTTCTGACTGGTAACCGGCAAATCTTTGCCGTTGAAGATAAAACCTCCGGTCACCACCGTAACTTCTCCATATATTCGTCCGTACACGCCTGATAGGTTAAAAAAAATAGTTCAATGTTTAAAATTTTATAGAAAAAAAAATAGGTATAGAGATTGCTATAAGAGTTGTTTACTTGCTATAGAAGCGTCCACTTATGTTTTTGGGATGAAGTTCCATCTTGCCCCGGAAAAAAACCCAAATGTCTCGTTCTTTAGTTACCGGAATATTCTTTCGAGTCTTGTGTAAACTTTCCGGTGAGATGTACGGCGGTATCACCACATTCTCTACCTCTTGGCATGGATGGTTATAAGTAACACCAAATGTTTGTAAAACTATAGAGTTTCTCAAAATCTTTGGTACTCCATCAGCAGTTGCTCTATCCTCCTTCATAACAAAAAAAAAAAAAAATCAGTATAAATAAATATGTATACAATTTGGCAAATCATTTTGAACTAACCATGGTGTGGAAGCAAGAGCCAAAGTCATGTGTGGCGGTGAAGACGTGGTCAGAGCCATTATTTCGATTCCAAAACGGGTATTGGGTAGAGACGAGCTTAATCGCGTCATTGATGAGTGTTCGCGCGTGACCTATAGCTGGAAAGCCATTGATGGTGCTGAAGTTGCAAGAGACATAGACAGGAACAAAGAAGAAATCGGCTTCGTACGGATCTTCCGTTCGTATGTCTCCTTCGAGGCTGAGAAACGCCTTGTGGAGAGCCACCTCCGCGGCAAAGAGGTGGTTGCTACACCTATCGTTGACTAACCAGTCTTTGTTGAACTTTGAAGGCAAGTCATAGACGTAGATTTTCAAATTGTTGAATACATCTACAAAGAAAATTTAAACAACCAAAAATATTGTCATGATAAGGCAAGATTGTTCAACTAGACTAATCCCCGATGCACCGGATATTTTTGCCACTATACGGATACTTTTCGAAAATAAATTCTACTATAAAACATGATGGATTCATCTATATATGTACCTGTTCTTATGTTGGGACGTTGAGGGGCAAACCCAAGTTTGTGATCATGGATTTTAGATTCAAACATGGCACGAGAAGCGAAAAGTTTGGGTTTAGGGTTAGTAAGAGGAGGGTTTGGTCGGGAAGAAGAAGACCTTTGATCATGATCTTGATCTTGATCATGGTCGACAAAGAAGGAAGCAAGAAAATAAAGAGTAAGGAAAAAACAGAGGAACCATTTGTAATAATGTTTTAAACAGAGACTTTTCTCTGTTCTTCTTTGTTTCTGTGTTATCATGGTTCTTGTTTTGCCGGGATGAATCTTATGGTCTGAGTTGGTTGTTGAATTCGAATCATCTGATTGTTGGGATTAGTTAAAAGGGTTTTAAGTTGTTGAAGAGGAGTTTTCTGATTCGGGTTTGGGAGATAAAGTGGAGATTAAGGAATGGTGAAGGAGGAACAACAATAGAAGAAGTTGGAGAAAGATTGATGAAGACTATCTCATTAATCTTTTTTTGTTGTTGACTCTTAAGAGATATTAAACCATTCAAATTTCTAATAATTTCTTCATTTCTTTTAATTTCGTTTTTTTTTTCTCATTGTTTTTTGCTTTCTAGTAATTTCATATGCTAAAAAGTCTTATATTTGTACAGATGATATAAATACTTGGAGCTTGTCCAAGTCTTATGTAGGAGATATATGTTAGAAATATTTTATACATCTCAAAGTGACAATGACAAATTTTGCACATTGTTAAAGGAATATGACACTTAAAACTCAAAAATAAAATAAAGTTTCAAAACAAAAAAAAAAGTATGACACTTAACTGCTTTATTTAAAAAGTATATTTTAGGACTCTCGAACCTAATATGAGGTTTTTGGGATCAGGACGCTATTGGATTAATGGTCATTCAATTCAAGAAATACTTTAAAGAGGCCAAACATGACGAAAGAAAAAGAACCATGATAATATTTAAAAGATATAATAAATATGAAAATATTGCTAAAGGAGCATGTATATGTATTGAATATATAAAAAGCAAGAAAACAAATCTTGGTTAGGGTTAACCGAAGTATTCAAAAGAAAATTTATCAATGTTAGGCGAGTATGAGGTTGTTCGTCGAATACGACTCCTAAAAATAACCACTTTGTGGAATCAATGATTTTGCTCTCGGTTTGGTCCAACGAATCGGGTATGTTTGTTACGTGTCGTGGTGTTACGTACTATTCAAGATATATATTTTTGGAAAATTGTACATTATCTTTTTAATTGATATACACATAACGCATAGCCGAAAAATTATTATTTTTAGTAAAAAAAAAGTTTTGTTATGTAGAAATTTATAGTTTTTAAACAATTGAAATTCAAGAATTTGCATTCCAATAATTCTTTTTTTTTTGTCATACTCTGTCTTGTAACTAAATTATTTTCACAAGTTAGTAGTATACAATTTTAAACTTCTACTTTACTACATATAAAAGGTTAGCTCTTTAATTTAATGGTAATTAACATACTAATAGTGAACGACCGAAGGTATTAACCGGATTGGGCAATGATGTGGAAGCCCTGAAGAACAAATATGTCACAGGTTATACTAGAGAAGATTGATTTAAGCCGCAAATTTTATTTAAAAGACTAAAACCTTATCCTTGATCAGATTATGTTGAGTATTATTCCCGTACACGCCAAGGGATAATGGACCCAACTCGAATAGGGAACCAACTTGAAGTCTTGAACCATTGTAGCCACCAAATATTGTTAATTTCCTTTTAATAAGATATATATGATGAATAAAAAATTAGTCGAACCAATGAACATTTTTCATACAACACATCATTATTTTCAAAAACCAGAGAATTATGGATCAAAATCAGACTATCTTTTAGGACATGTAGATTTTGTTTTTGCTGTTTGTTTACTATTTACTACGTTTACAAATTGCTAATCTACATGTGCTCTAAAACATATAAAAGTCAATAATTAGGTAATAAACTTATGAAACATATAACATAAATTTAATCAGCGAACATAGTAAAAGTTTTATTCGCTTGTAAGGTAATTATTATGCAATATAATTTTTTTAGTTCGCCATAATATATTTCTTTATTAGTCAAAATATGTAGAAACGGTTGATAATTTGGAAAGCTAAGTATAATATAAAATAAATTTTAAAAAAATGGAGAAGTATACAAAAATAATTTTGTAAGAAACTTATACTTATCCATAAAAATATTTAAAAAGGTTTATTAGATTATTTAATGATACAGTATAAGAGATTTGAAAGAAAGAAATTTGTATTCACTTAGAAAATGACTCGTCAACCAATTTTCTTTGGCTTCTATAATAATTGTATGGATTGATATTTTCGATCCAATCAAGCCAGATAAGTATATTAGGTGGCACTAAGTATATTGTGGTTAATTTTCATAAGACATTTAGATGTTCATTTCAGTTTAAAAAATAAATGTAAAATGTTGCTCGAAACAACAAAAAAAGTTTAGAAGACAAAGAAGAAATCAAAATGATGTTGAATCACCTCTCCGTTTCCTTAATCATCAAAGGATACAATCCCCTAATTATGTAATGGTCTGCACTATAATTATGTATTCCCTTTTCTAATAGAATATGAACCCTCTCTCATTTAGTTATTTGTACGTTTATGTAACAATTTATAAATATTTTCACGAGTATAGACCACCACGAGTCCCTTACTAATTGATCAGAAATTTCCAGAAACAACATACTATCCACAATTTTACTTACGTATTCTAATCATACACATTCTCAACTCAAAAAGTACGCTTTTGGAGCTAGAAATCCTCACCCAAAACGAGTTTTATTCAATACTATGTTTTTTTAATTGTTAGCTTTTTTGTAATACCTTTTTTTTTGTTAACTTTTATTTAATACTTACGTATTTCAGAACTTATTAGAAAAGGCAAAACTTTACCAACCACTCATTTTCTACACCTTTTGTTTATGTAAAAAGAAAAGGTAAGAGAAGTCCATGTTCGGTTATCAACTTATCATAAACTATTAATGTTTTGCAAACCGACTGCATATGTATAGATAATGTATGTGTTATGTGTAGATAGTTTAGTGTTAGCATTAGTGTCCAATCGCATATTACGTGTATTATATTATATATATAACAAACCAGATAATATAAGGTATAAAGTCACTTTCAAGAGGTTGCTTGGCTAGCTAAGTTGGAATGACATAATACATAACAATTAAGATAATGTCATAACATAAAAACTGTAGGGATAGGTGGTCAGCGATTAATCTAATTCGTTTGATTTGTTTTGTATCGTTGAAATTATTCCATATGTTGTATTTTTTTTTTTTTTATTAAGAACACTAACACGAACGTGGGCATTGAGGCCCATTGTGCTTTAGTTAAAAAATATGAAACACTTGCTTAAGGCCTTCTTCTGGCAGAAAAATTTAGGGCTGTCTAATTTGTATGGGTTTACTTTTATTTTTTTAATTTTTAATAACACCATCGTCTAGGTTCTCCATTCAAAGCTTTTGAGGCTAGACCCAAATATTATCTTTGAACCTAGACACAAATATTATCTTTTATATATCCAATGTAAAGACTTTAGATATGTAATTAAGGAGAATGATAGTTAGCTACACGATATATGGACCATGACATGGTCACAAATGCAGACTAATTTAATGTATTAAAAACTACACGAACAATTGCTAAATTATGGTGATATCCACCAACTAACATAAGATAGATATGTACGCAATACCATAACCATATATTCCGGTTAAACGAACTACGTTTTTCGGTACTGGCCGATTCAAAAAAATATTTAGTATTATTTATTTTAGATAAACAACAACAATTATAAATTTGTAAAATAATTAACTAAAAACATTAGAAAAACTAAAGGAAAAACATAACAAATTGGAGAAATGAATCTTATATTTATTATTTTCAATATTAATTAAATGATCATATGTATATAAACTAAGTCAAATGAATCTTATATATCTCTCTTTTCCGAGAAGAGGATCTTAGCTTTAGAACATTTTTTTGCCTCAAATATGTCTCGTCTTCTACCCATCAAAGAGCCCATTAAGCTGACAGATAATGCCATGGACCGCCATTTCCTATAGTACCATGTGTTTTTGGATCTTTTTCTTTATTCCGGCAAAGTCTTCTAATGTGTGATTCATAGTATTTCATTGTTATTCATAGTACTTGATTTTTCTTTGGAATTTATATGTGGTCAAGGAAAAAAATAAAAAATAGAACGAATTAAGTAAACATTTTATTTCTAGTTTAGTGTAAAATTGTCTAGTTTTGCTTTGTTGGACATTCTATATGGAGATAGTTAAGCTTAGATGGACACACTAATTTCTTTGGCACTCTTAGTTGGACACTTTATTAGGAAGATAATATCTCCTTATCTTTGGACAATAATTTCAAACAAAAAGACAAAATTAGAAAAGACAGATAAAATGGTCAATCTTTATCTTTTCTAAGCTACGAATAAAATGGTCAAATCTCCCTCAAAACTTTCCGACAATCAGCCCTCTCTTCGGTATACTTACATGTAAACAAATTCCCCTATTCCTCTGATCTACTTTATAGCCCTGAGACTCTCTTTCTGTACTCTAATCATTTATCTCTCTGTCTCTTAGTTTGTTCTCTTATTCTGAATCAGCCAAGTTTCTTCATTTCTCCAATCAAGAAAATCTTGAAAGAGACTCAAGATTCACTTTCAAAGATATCTTGATAATAGCCTCACACTCTGGTTTCAAAGATGGGAAACGACGAGACCGTACGATTCTTGATTCACTTCTTTAATGGAAGATGGTTCATGGTGTTTGCTTCGTTCCTCATCATGGCTTGCGCTGGAGCCACTTATCTTTTCGGGACTTACTCAAAAGATATCAAATCCACACTTGGTTACGACCAGACAACGTTGAACCTCTTAGGTTTCTTTAAAGATCTTGGAGCAAACGTCGGTGTCTTGTCCGGTCTAATAGCTGAGGTCACACCGACTTGGTTCGTCCTCACCATTGGTTCGGCGATGAACTTCGTCGGTTACTTCATGATCTGGCTTACCGTAACAGGCAAAGTCGCGAAGCCAAAGGTTTGGCAAATGTGTCTTTATATTTGTATCGGAGCTAACTCGCAGAACTTTGCAAACACAGGAGCTTTGGTTACTTGTGTTAAGAATTTCCCTGAGAGCAGAGGAGTTATGCTTGGTTTACTTAAAGGTTATGTTGGACTAAGTGGCGCAATCTTGACGCAGCTTTATTTTGCGATCTATGGACACGATTCAAAGTCTTTGATTTTGTTGATAGCGTGGTTGCCTGCTGCAGTTTCTCTCGTGTTTGTGTATTTGATAAGAGAGAAGAAGGTTGTGAGGCAGAGGAATGAGCTCAGTGTGTTTTACCAATTCCTTTATATTTCTATATTCTTGGCTTTGTTCCTTATGGCAATGAATATTGCTGAGAAGCAAGTTCATTTCTCCAAAGCCGCTTATGCGGCAAGCGCTACGATATGTTGTGTTTTGCTTTTTGTGCCTCTTACGGTTTCGGTTAAACAAGAGATTGAAGTTTGGAACATGAAGAAGTTACCTATCGAAGAGCCGAGCGAGGTCAAGGTTGAGAAACCGAAGAAAGAACTTGATCTTGTTCAAGACAAAACCGCCAAGGTGGATGGAGAAGAGAAGGAGACGAAATCTTGTTTCTTGACGGTGTTTTCTCCACCGCCAAGAGGGGAAGATTACACAATATTGCAAGCATTGCTCAGCACCGACATGATAATACTATTTGTGGCGACATTCTGTGGTTTAGGATCGAGCTTGACTGCGGTAGACAACCTCGGGCAAATAGGGGAGTCTCTCGGCTACCCGAACCACACGGTTAGCTCTTTTGTGTCCCTAGTCAGCATATGGAATTACTTCGGTCGAGTGTTCTCAGGTTTTGTCTCAGAATACTTGCTTGCCAAGTATAAATTACCCCGACCGCTCATGATGACATTAGTCCTCTTATTGAGTTGTGCGGGTCACCTTCTCATCGCCTTCCCGGTACCAGGCTCGGTATATATCGCGTCAATTCTAATGGGATTCTCTTTCGGTGCACAACTTCCTCTGCTCTTTGCCATCATCTCAGAACTCTTCGGACTCAAGTACTACTCTACATTGTTCAATTGTGGACAACTTGCTAGCCCGCTCGGGTCTTACATCCTAAACGTCCGCGTCACGGGAATGCTTTACGATAGAGAGGCCTTGAAGCAACTAACGGCTCGAGGCCTAACCCGAAAAGACGTAAAGGACTTGACTTGCTTAGGAAGTCAATGTTATAAGCTACCGTTTGTGATTTTGGCAGCAGTAACGTTCTTTGGAGCACTTGTATCTTTGGGTTTAGCTATAAGGACGAGAGAGTTTTACAAAGGAGATATTTACAAGAAGTTTAGGGAGAGTCCTGAATCCGAGTCTGATTCAAGAAAAGCTGTTGAATTTGTTGGTAAATAATTATCATACAAATTGTATTTGTAACTTGAATTATAGTTGAATAAATTAATAGAAAAGAGCCGTTTAATTTCTTTAGTCTTTCATACAACTTCTCTTTAATTCAGGACAAGTTGTTTTTTTTTTTGTTTTTGGGACAAATGGACAAGTTGTTTAAGCACTTCTTTTGTCGGTCAATCTAAAATACTAAAAAAAGGTAATAGTAATCATGTGATAATCTCATAACATGCCAAAACATCACGTTCATGTGATCACGAGTTGTAATGTTACATTCGTTAAAGGTGTCATATTCGAAGTCGCACTCGTGTCTGTCTCACTCTCACCAACTATGGATAATGCACGCCGATTAGTTGTTGATTTACCTATTTGCCCCTTTGAGCATGAACTCTTGTGTAATATTTGGATGTTCAAGTGATAGAGCCCAAATTAGTTAAGATACATTTGTCACACTCTTTTGAGAAAAAATGTCATATATTTCGAGTTTGTGACTTCCGGCTGTGAAAGGGAAACTCCGTTTTCAGATTTATATTCGCATTAAACAAATTTTGCAGGTAGAGTTTAGAAAATTAAATTCACTTGCAAAAGAAAATCTTGGTTCATGTGTAACATGGTCGCATATGGGCGGATACAACATCTAAATTTGGGGTGATTCAAATACGTATCTTTTTTTTAGTTTTGTAGTTAACACATTACTAGTTTCATAAAGTTGGCTTACATAAACTACATAATAGATCATGGAACTTCTAGATCTCCAAAGATTCTTTGATGAACATGTTGAAGTTCCACCACCATTCCATGTGCATAATGGACTCGAGTGTTGAAACCTAATCCACCTTTGTTAGCTTCACCAAGAAAAATCTATCTACATCATTACATGGCCATAATTAGTGACATCTTTACACCGCTATAATCAATCATAGCATGGGCCTCCACAACCTTTGAAGTCTAAAGAATTCTTGCTACCACTTCGGGCAGGCCTAGATGCAGTCAGATTAAGCAATTTTGAGATCAAGTGAAAAAGTCATCTCATCAATATAATTTTGACACATAAATTAATTTTTCAACACTTTTTGTAAGTTGAGGTTAAAATTGGGCTATATTAATTGATATGCATAGAAGACTAAAAAATTAAAAATCTATCCATGCTTATCTTTTTATTAGTTCTCTTTCCTCTGACTTAGTTAATACCAAAACTACCCTTCATTTTGTATAAGCGCTAACAAAAATAATAACCAGATAAATAGTTTAGTTCTAACAGTAAAAATAACATTGTTCTTGTCGTCGAAAATACTATTCGTCATCGGAAGAAATAAATGAATAATGATTTATGTGGTTATTTTTTTGGATTAACAATGTAAATCAAATTGTATCGCGATAACTAAAAAGTAAAAACACTGTTCAGCCAAATATCGAAAACTCTATTCATCACGAAATGTAATAAAAAATAGTGATTTTGGTGATTATTTATGTAATTAGTAAGATAAATTATATTATATCATGATAACTTTATATGTTGTATGGTAAATTATATTTATCGTGCTAATATATTTATTATATGATTGTTATCAACAAACTTATATAATAATATATGTTTATTTATTTCGATAATTTATTTATTCCTGTTAGCTTATGCATTAGCATATTTATTTATCATGATAATTTGTTTATCACGGTTAAGTTATATGTTATCATGGACGTTAAAAAAATCTTCTTCTCGTCTCGAGTATCTTCCTCCGTCATCATGTCTCCCAGATTTTTTTCTTCTTCCATTGTCACCTGCAACTTCATCCCAAGTTCACCTCATCACTTTCTCTCTTCTTCTTCTTCTTCTTTTCCCACCTCTTCGTCCTGTCCATTTTTACTTTAAACTACAAAACAATAATTTTCATCTCCAAATTCTTTCCCCACCTCTTTGTCCTCTTCATTTTTACTCCCCGAAAGGACTGCCGTCCGATGGGTCTTCTTCGTCCTCTCCATTTTCACTTTATTTTGTGTAAAACACTAACAAAAATAATAACCAGATAAGTAATTAAGTGTGTAGAAGAAAATTATATATTTTGTATAAACGCTAATAAAAATAATAAGCAGATAAGTAATTAGGTGTGTAGAATAAAAGGGTAAAAATATTAAAAGATCAATCTCTTTCTTGTCCATTTAATTAAAAGAAAAGCATGAATACATACTTAATTATTTGATATTTTGAGCATATTCATTGATATTTTCCAAAAATTAATCTGTATTTTTTGAAAATAAAAGTTAAAATTGCAAAAATGGACATATTTTTTTGTTTTCACAAAACCTATTCGAAACTGCAAGTGTTGTTCGTCAAATAAAAAAAACCAAAGTGTTTGACTCTTTTAAACACTTCCCCCTTTTGCGCGCTTCCCAAAGCTGCAAAAGTTTCAACTTTTAAGGGTTTCGTCTGAAGGAGAAGGAGCTTGAATAAGCCCCAAGTCAGAGAGAACCAGAGAGAAAGAAGAAGAGAGATAATTAACGATGGATTTGGATGGACCTCTTGATTTCGAGAACGAAGATCCTCTGGTTAACCCTCCACCGACAATTGAGAAAAGGTCAATCCTTTTTTTTTGTCAATCGCTAATTACACATTTTCCGACTTCTGTAGTATCGAATTTCTCTTCATTGTTGTCATTGTAATGAAATTCTGAGTCTTTTGTAAATTAGGGTTGTTGAATTCTGAAATTTGGGTTCTTTTTGTTTAGGGTTAATGAAAAGTTTGTTCCTTTATTAACACAAAGCTTAAATTTTTGTAATGTCACAAAAACAGGAAGAAAGTTATTGGTTTGGACGATCTTCTATCTGATTTTTATAAAGAGAAGAGTAAGGTTATTGACAAGGTAAACAAGAAACGCAAAGTCTCTAAGGTTTATCATTCGGATGATGATGAACAAGGCCAAGTAGATTTGCTTTCTCAATGTGTTGATGAGTGTCAGAATCAGGTATGAGTCAAAAAAATCATCTCTTTTTAAGTTTATCATCTTACATTTTGTATGTGTAATGTTTGGTGGTGATTGTTGTGGTTTTAGATGAATGAGATAGCTGGTGAAGAAGAAAATCAAGATTGGGGATTATCTATGTTTGGAGATCAGGTTAGGCTGATTATTATTTACTATGTTAAATGTTGTTTCAGAGTAAGTAAAGATTTGTACTTGTATGTTACTATGCAGAAAATTCCAATACCTTCACCGCATGTTGATCTCGATAGTTGCTGCTTGTTGAAAGAGTTTATGAGTAATCAGTTAAATTTGGTTGTGGGTCTTACCGTAGATGAAGGTTTGTTTCCTATGACCTCATCGCCTTTGTTATTCGTTTTTCCGGCTTTTAAGAAGTAATTGGTTTCCTGTACAATCCAGGAACAACTTTTCTTGAAGGATTGCTGGTTAACGGCTGGCTCACAAGACTGATCTTGACTTCTGCGCGTGTGGAAAAGTTCATATGCAAGTGGACGCTTAATATATGTGCGTGTTCTAGCTCTCTTTTTAACTTTGTTTATTCTACAGACTTTGGTTTACTCTATGGTTTTTGATGTTTGGGACTTACCAGTGTTGTATTCATCGAAAGAAGATCTAAGATCATGTGCTTGTGACTTTTGGTGTTCTATACTGTTATCACAAAACAAGGTACGTCTGTGTACTTTCTTTCTCTCCTGATCTTATTACATTATGTTTTGACTGAAGCTGACTCCTTGGTTTTTAACTAATGTGGTTTAATCAGGTTAATGGAGCTCCTGTTGAAATTTACTGGCTTCCTAACTATCAGGAACTTAAAGAAGCTCTTGAATCATATGGGTTCAGAATTAGTCTGTCACAAGACGTTGAACTAGCAGAAGCGGGTGGGTTTCCTGTTTCTCCCTTTTCTTGAATTGGAGGTTATTTTATCTTTAGGTTTTATATTACTACTGAAGTCTGCTAACTTTTGGCTTTGAAGATTCTGAGTCTCAAGGTCCTCCACAGAATATTAGAGCTTGGCTCACATTGGTCACAACTTGTTGTCAAATTAGGTCTGTGTCGCAAAAATTCCTCTCTTTTACAGATTAGCAAAGACGTTCTCCTGCCTTTTCAGTTCTAATTCATACATTTTGATTACGTCCGCATTCTCTGTTGCTTCGTGATTCAGGTGTAAAAATCCCATTTTTTCCACTTCACAAGTTGAAGAGATAGCCGAAATCCTTGTATTGCTGCTATTAGATCGCGGTCTTCTAGGTCTTTCACTTCTCTTACAAGAATGCTTAATATCTGTTATTGGATCCTTTAAAGAGGAAGAATGGGTTTCAAGCTGCAAGAAAATAGCAAACTCTCTTGCTTCAAGGTTCGACCTCGCATTTTTATTGTAGCATCCTTGGACTGTTTGTCTTATCTGTTTACTTGACTTATGCACTTTGTTTTTCTTGTTTGATGCATCTGTAGAGTACCTCAAGACATGAATTGTTTGAGGGTAGTGGAATCTGTATCAGGTGTTGATGCTCGAAGCAAGCATCTGAGAAGTTCCATCGCACATCAAATGCTCGTTGTTTTACTTGATCATAAGGTAACCAACCATGAACTAAATCATAAGATACTACCAACAAGTTAAGATTGTAGCAAACAAGGCATTTATACATCCTCTGGTCTTGATTATCTATTAACAGGACAGCGACGAAAATTTGTTGAGCTCGCTGATGTGTATCAATGTGAAGGAGAAAAGTTGTAACCTATTCAAAACTTACATTTCCGTGGTATTGGCGGAGAACTGGCTCTTCTCCAGTACATTGGTCGAAGAAAAGCCGGTACTGAGGGACATGTGGGCTGTGTTTCTCAGAAACTGTTCTTGTCAGATCAACAGCACCGATCTTCGGTCTTATGCATCAAAAGTGAGTAGCAAGCAGATCAAATCAAACCTTTTTATTCTCTTTTTTTAACTTTGATTCATGTCTTTAATTACCGGGTAACGGTTTTGGTTCGGTGGTCATTAACAGGTTCGTACCAAAGCCGCCTATCTTCTTCAAGGATGCAGCAGCAATTGAAGGGGTACTTTTGAAACTTTAGCAGTAGATTGATGAGTAAAATTTCGCTAATATTAGGTTTTTGTTTTAATTTACTCTTTACCACTAAAATTTAAAATTATCCCATACCTTTGTGTCATTGATGGATACTTAAGGTTATTTTAACAAATCTATAACCTCTTCGGGTGGTACTACAATGCTATATCATTTTGAGTTTCGTAGTGATTATAACTAATGTTCTCGAAAGAGCTAGGCGCTAATGAAACGACTGATGAATATTTAGTGCTTAAAACTAATTGATCGATGTTTACACAGTGTTTTTTTCTAATAGTTCTGAATTGATGTAACTAATGAGAAATCAGTCTAGCCGATTACTTGAACCAAGTATTTTTAACTCTATTTTATTCTCGCAAAATTCATAGTGACGTAACAAACAAACTTGCACAAACTATTACTTTGTATGTTCTATTCAAATTTAATTTACTAATTAGTAAAATTTTAATTATACAACAACAAATAATTTTTTAATTAAATACATTACTAGATACATAGTAAAAATACCTATATTAGCATAAATAATCAATACAAAATCTTGTTAAGTGTTAACAAAAGGAATACAAAAGCTTTTAAATCAATCAGAAGATAAATATTCTGAACAAATATCTATGATTATTACTTCATGTATTGGTGTCAATAAAATAAATTCGACATTGATATATTTAACTCTTAATATAAAATCATAGTTATCTTGATATATATAATTAATTCTTAGTCCTGAGAATTGTCATTTGACACTAAACTGTTAATATAAAATATTTATCATGATATCGATAATTTATCAATTTTACAACTATAGTAATTAAGATATTTATGTTACCATGAATTTATTAGTTTAAATTTTCAGTTTTAATTAAAAAGTACTTAACATCAAAATCATGTTGTTGATTATTTACTAGATAGCAATCGTGATTTTACAATTTAATAGATGGAAAAAAGGTTTTTATAAGATTATTAGAATTTATTTTTCTTAGATATTGTAATATATTTAGCTTAAATATAAGGAAAATTTTTTAAAAATACTAAAAAGAAAATTGTGGTAAATACAATTTAACATAATAAAAATATATAATTAACTAATATAAAAATAGATGAATTTTAATCTTTTTGTTATATGTATATTTTTAGTTCAATGTAAAATATTCGATTAATATTGTTCTTATGTAGCACCATATTTAGTTTTATATGTGATTGAAAAAATGAAGCAAAAATAAGTTTTTTCTATGTAGATATCAGAAAATGAGATAATTTAGTGTATATAATTTGTTAGAAATGATTATAAAAGGTAAAGTATTAGCGGAAATGGATCTTATAATGATAATTAAGATATAAAATATTATTATCGAAAGTATAGTAGACAAAGGTCAAATAATATGGGTAACATGTTGGATATATGTAATTCATGTAGTTTAAATCATTAATAAAATTCTCATATATCTAATAAGGATCAGAATCGAATTTTCATATATTTGTATTTATATTTTTTTGACCATCTTAGAGAATATTCTAAAGGCTCATTGTATTTCATTTGTTTCTTATTTTGAAGGCGCTGAAGGATAAAGCCACTTCAATATTTCTAAGTATGGTAACAGTAACTTCACCACGGTGACTTAAGCTGCCGCAACAGCTTCAGAGAATAATATGAAAAGATATATGTCATTTACGAAAAAGGTATATACAAAAAAGTCGTTTATATCGGTAAGAAGAAAAATAATTTAACCATCGTTGGAAACGGTAGAGATTTGATGGTTTTAGCGGCAGTTTGAACTACGTGGATAGTACTAAAACTTACAACTCTACAACCTTTATTAATATCATTTTTCTCTACTATTAACCGGATAAAACTAGATGGAATTGAAGATTGTTAGGATCTATTTATCAAGAATACCTTGATTCAACATAATGTTGCGTTTATTTAACATCTTACTTAGTTATTTATTTTTTTGATATCGAAAAGTAAATTGATAAAATGAGCAAAACAAATGTAAAATATAAGCAAAACATAAGAAAAATATATTTATGTGTGTGTGTTTTTATGATAGATGAATGAGATAATCTGAGTGGCATATCATAACTTTCTATTGACATGTCAAGAGTTTCAGTTTGTTAATTTTTATTTTTAGAAAATTAAGAAATAAATCTTTCGTAAAAAATTATAATACAAGTTTTCAAGTTTCATGTGGGTTTTCATCTTCCCTTTTAGTATTTTATTAATACAATGCATCTTGTAAGTTTAGTTCAAATAATATTAGTTTCAAAAATCCAAAAAAAAATATACAAGATCTAAAAAATATGATTATTATCACTTTTTTTTTAATCTACAAAATTATACTAGTCATGGAACATGAAATAATTTTTATGTTCATTAGAATTTTAAAACAAAATTTGTGGACGGGCAACAACGGTGTTTCAGTATTGCCAAATCGAGGCACGTAAACCGGGTACAAGATAAACCAATGTATTGACTGCTCAATCTCGTGACAAAGAAATTCCTTCGTCGGGGTTTTCATTCCAGAGATGTAACATAACTGTAAATTATGACCTTACCCCAGTCAAAAAAATGTAAATACGTTTCTGGGACGTCCGTGGCATGCACTATTAACATTAGTTTATGGAGTTTTTTATAGACAATTTATTCGATCTAGCGGTTGGACTCCATAGAACATTATTGATATTGGAACCCTATCGACTCTGTATTATGGTGAATACTGAAATACAGTTCCATGAAAGGATACAAGTAAAAAGGTCAACTGGAAGAGATATAAAATAATCACAGATCCTAATGAAGTTGCCAGTTTTACTGTTGAAAAACTTCTAGAGTGAAACTGTGGATAGGACTAGTTTGTTTGGACAGAAAGTGATCATCTCCACTGATGTCCAAGTAAACTTGGAGATTGCCAAGTCAAAGACAGACTCTGCTCTAACTCGGAGCATTGCCAGATTGTGTGGAGAGAACAATCTGTTTGTTCAAAGCAAAGAATCCCACAAGCATGGTCGAAGCCTGACCTACCAGCTCTTTGGATCTCAATCTTTGAAGCTAAGGATGCTAGAGGACTTCAACGTCCTGGCTGGGAAGTTTATGAAGTTGGGAGCCAGAAACGGCAGTCTGGATGTCAAGACAACCGCGAGCAAGGTTGTTTTTAAAAATATTAGAAAAATATTAATTTAACCTATAAAGTTGTAAATATTAGAAAAAATAATATCTATAGAATTTACTAAATTTAGAGATTTTGTTTTTAAAAATTAATACTATTAGGATAGACACAAAAGATAAAGAATATTATTTGACCGAGAACTATATATAAATATATAGCCCCTTGCCAAAAAAATAAAATAAATATATAGCTTAGCTCTAGTTTTCAAACTCCTCAAATCATTTATCTTCTGAAAACATTGTTAGTTATATTTCTAAGATAAAAGGCCAACAAAATGGATCCTATATGATGATATAAAAAACACTAGTAGATAGGGATGTCTCCAGTCAAGGTTATTTGTACTTACCAAAAAAGCAAATAGATAACATACTAAAGACTAAGGGAATTACAGTACCCCAAAATGGTATTCATTTGGAATTTCAAGACAATGACAAACCTTTCATTAATGAATGGTTATATTATCAGGGGTGGGTGGAAAAATCTCAGAGAGGCAAGAGGTCTTAAAACAGGTGATGACATCAAATTATATTGGAAAGACAATAAAATTATCTTTACTAAAGATTCAAATGATCAAAGTGGATCAAGCGATGCAGATCAAAAGAAATAAGAGAAGATCAAGTAGATCGGCAGAACAAGTGCGGGTAAAGCAGATAAAGCGAGTTAAAATATATCTTGAATGGTGAAAAACATTAACAGGCTGAACAAATGTTTAATAAATATTAAAAAGTTTAAAAATTACTTATAAAATATTTTAGATATATCATTCTATCGAGTAATTTACATATTATGTATTATCATAAAATTTCTTAAATTTGAAATTATTATATTATTTTTAATCTTTTTATTACTTATATTTTTAATTCAATGTAAAATATTTAATTAATGATGTTCGTATTGTAGCACCATTATTTAATGTTATATGTGATTGAAAAAAGAAGCTGAAATTAGATTTTGCCTGTAAACTATAGAAAAAGAAATGATTTAATGTATATAACTTGTTAGAAATGATTATAAAAGGGATGATTTAATGTATATAATTTGTTAGAAATGATTAGAAAATGTATATAACCCACCAAAAGTTATTGTTTTACTCCAACACCAATAGTTACTCTGGCTTCTAATATTTGTAGCATGATCTAGAGATATATTAAAGTACTGATGCTTTAGAATTAGATTTGGCTGTTTAATTGGCATGACCTCTAATTTGCGGGGTCTCTTAATTACACCTCTTAAGTTCGCAGTCGCAGACGACAAAATATGTTCACTGGTTTTACTTTTACCTTTTGAAATGTGGTCTTGCAGACTGATATATTTTAATTCAACTATTAAGATTGATTAGTATTTTAGAAAAATTAATAGGTTTTAGTCAAAGAAATAATAGACGAATTCAGAGTATATAAATTCTCTATTTAGCAAATAATATTTGCTTTATTTTTCTTTCGTATGAATAAAAATTTATAGAAAACTATTCTTTCTCTTTTTTTTTTCTAAGGCATCTTTTTTGGATCTATATTTCCTTTTCTTTTTTTAGCTTAATTGAAATAAGGTTGGTGGAAGCAATCTTGAGTGAAGATGTCTTCTCTTCTCCGGCGGTGCTAAGGCATGGAAGAATCGTGAGGTGATGCAAAGCCATGGCCGAAACGGTTGCAACGTGATGAGATCGAGGTTGATTTCGAGCCTCATATAGCATAGACTTATTTGTTTTTGTGAACCTTTGGGGAAACATTAGTAATAGTAAGGAAATCAGTAATAACAAACTGATGAGAATAAGAAAAAGAAATTGATAGGGAAGAAGTTTTGTTATACTCTCATCAATTTATCATCATATGATAACCATGTTATTGATCTATGTAAGTTGACCCAAATAAGATATATCGTTGATTTCTGAGTAAAATGTAGTTCGAGATTAGTTAAAGATTTGTGAATAAAATCTGCCCAAAAAAAAAAATTAAAATAAAATATGAATTTTTCCACTTATTATAGAAACCTAAAATTGGAAATCTATAAAACTCAACAAATATTGAAAAGAATTATTTTTGAGACCTGTGAATAGGAACATAAGGTAGATGTTAGGTTATCAGTTCCCTCCTTTTGCTGACCAACTTTTCTCTACCCACGTTCACATCATACACACATTGCCTTTCAAAACTTTGCAAACTTATGATCATACAAGTATATAAACACACGTACGTGTGAACTCACATACGCAGAAGAAAATGCGTACGCGTGTGGACAAGTGTGATCGACTCAGCTTTTAGATAATATGTCGGAATGTAGCAATAATAAATTACCTATTTTTAAGAATTTTCTTAGGGTCCCATTGACATTGGCACTTATTTAAATCTCACTCACTGCCAACGACTGGAAGGAAAATGTGAGGTGGCCCATAACTCATAATCATTTTGATATATAAATTAGGTGGGACAAATATTTTAAGAAAAAAAAAATATATATATATATATATATATATATATATATATATATATATATATATTTTAAGAAATTAATTTACTAGAGAAAGGATCCAATTCTCCAAAAAAATATTAAAAACACAAATGGCCCCAATTTTATTTTGTCTATACAAGATGAATGTTGTGCTTGTTTACAAACGAATCAGATTAGTAAAAATCATGGTTATTCGGTGAGATATAATGGTTTCATGACCTTTTGTTGTCAATTTTTACCAAAAATGTTGTTGTCGTCTAACAAATATGCCCTATTAAGTATGTCCAAAAAGATGCTTGATTTTAGTAAACTTCATACTCGCAATATTTTCTTGCATGAGCATGACATAGATTACTAGTTTAGTATAAAGTTGGGACGTTGTCATCTTGCAACGTATAATTCTCTTCTCCTCTCAAATCGAGGTCGAAGAAGTCCATGGAATAAAGTATCTTTCCAATATAATCATAATTACCGTTAGCGCGTTCTTTTTTTGTTTGTTTGTTTAATTTGTATTTTTTATAAAAAAAAGGAAGAAAAAAGTCTTAAAAGATTCTCTTTGATGGAAAAAGGTTTCAGACATTTTCTTGAGTCTTGTCCCAACCTCTGGTGAGTTGTGACCAATCTAAAAGCAAATCAAATACCCACTAATTTAAACCAGTGTAAATCTATCCTATATTTTGCTTATAAACTATGATAACAACAATACACTAAGTCATATATAACTCACTCTCTCTCCCTCTCTCATTAGAATTGATTCATTGAAGAAAGATGGAGAGACAGCAGCAAAATTATCTACTTAGTTGGGCTCACCAAAACCATTGTGGTATAAAGGTAATTAAAACACTATTCTACATTCTTCTTCAAGAGATTTTACCTTCTTTTCTATTATAGATTTCTCAGTTTCCTCCAAACTCAAACTGTTTATTTTGGTTGGCAGACAATAGAAGAGCTTAGACATTCTCTTCTTCACACAACAATGGAGTTAGAGCAAACAAGAATGGTAGCCAGTGAAGAACTCATTGCCAAAGATGACCAGATAATGCATCTCAAAGAACTTCTCAACAAAGCTATCAAAGAGAAAGATGAAGCACAAGAGAGATACAAGAGGCTTCTTCTTGACCAACACTTCATCCTACAACGCCAAACCGACGAAGAGCAAGACCCAAACATCAATGGGTTTCACTCATCAGACGGTGAAGAAAGCATTGTCTCATCTTTTGAACCACCGATGGAGATCGAGTTAGATTTTCCGGAGATGACATTACCGGAGAAAGGGAAGCTTTTAAAGGCGGTAGTGAAGGCAGGGCCTTTGCTTCAGACTCTGCTTCTAGCTGGACAGCTTCCACAATGGCGTCATCCGCCACCACAACTTGAGTCCTTTGAAATTCCACCAGTGATTATTGCTGAAGCATCACCATTGTCACAAGATAGTTGTGGGAATAATCTAAACAGGAAGAGAGTTCACTGTGACGAGTCTGATTCCGAAAGAGAGACCAAGTACCAAAGGCTCTTGCCTTGATCGTTTATGTACTCACATTTCACTTAATCATCAAGTATGTATAGAAAGAGTTGGCTTTTCTTTGTATTCTTTCCAAGGGATCATTGTATACCAAGCAGTGGAGCAGTCCTGCCTTTGGGTTAACCATTTTCTTATTTTGGTGTCTAGATCCATCATGTTTTAGAAAAAAAGATTTAGTATCGGTTTCTTCCGGGGTGAGCATGACTCTTTTGATAATAAGCTTGGTAATTCTACGATTGTATAGGTTAACCGCGAGTTAGCTTGCGACCTACTAGCTAGAATCAGGCTAAAGCGGGCCAGACTAAAGTGAGCTGGCCCGGTCCAAGGTAATAACTCTACTCCTTTCTTGTATGTGTGCAAGAAAAAAAAAAGGGGTGAAAAAGAGACTTTAAAATATGAAATGATGTGAGGTTGATGAGTGTACAGTGATTAGGATTTGGTTACCCACAGATCTGATTTAGTTTCTTCTAAGAAGACAACTTTGTCAGCGACAGTAACAGTGAATTCTTGCCAAAAGACACATGAGTAGGAGTCGGTGGATCCTAAAGAAAAAGTATGAGGACCCTTTTTTCTTGGCTTTACATTGTGCACTATCATTTGACTAATTCACCCACTAATACCATATTTTTCCATACACAAGTTGATCACTTTTGCTTACCTTTAACATTCATGGCATATACATAAGCTATTTAGGAGGAATAATAAGCTATATAGCGTCTAGGAGGAGAGGAATTTCGTGCTCTTCCAATGAAATAAACGGAGAACTTAGTTGGGTACATAATTTTGTTTATATGAACCTAAAAGACAAAAAAAAATTCCCATCATTAATTTTTACAACAAACAAATAAAAATCTTCATATAATGAAATGATGAAGAGGTTAGAGTTGGGTAAGGTTGGGTCATCTTCATATTGAGTGGTTACTAGTGGGCCTAAATTGGGAATGATACAACAATTTGTCTAATCTAATACAATATATATTTATTTTTAATATCAAAAATTTATTTTTTTCTGAAACAAATCTTATTTCTTATCATATAAACCTTGAACATTCTCACGAGAGCCTGACACGTATCAAAATTTTAATTAACACGATCACAGAGACAACAAGAACAAAAGAATTCAATTGGCATATGTACATTAGAGAACAAAAGTTACAAAACTCTGAAACGTATACAATAGGAGGTATCAGTTTTTAAAATTTTCAGTATTAACAATTTTCAATATTTTTTTGTTAATGAACTAATGTTTTCTATACACTAAAAATATGTTTTTAAAGGACGTTTCGAGAAAATATTTAACAAGGCCCACTATCGAAATTGGGTTTCAAACCAAAAGATTTGGGTTTCCTGGATTTTATTTGGTTTGTCTTTTTATCATTTGTCGTATGTGCTCCAAAATATTTTTTTTTTTTTTTTTTTTTTTTGATATACCCGATCGGCTGATCCGGTCAGCCCTGGGGGAACGCACCGAAGTGCTACCATGTGGACTCACTACCACCCCGAAGGATGGGCTACCACACTGCCTAACCCAAGTTTGGAATGCTTTCCGACTAATGCCCGGGGGTAGCTGGATCGCCTGTTACCAGACTACCAGGTAAACTGCCTGGGCCGAAGCCCAAGCCCAAACTTCCCACAAAGTGTTGATAACAGCGAGGGAGGAAGATCGAACCTGGGTTCGGGGATTTCACCCTCAACTCCAGACTCGCCCTACCACTAGCCCACCACCTTGCGGGCTGCTCCAAAATATTTGCATGAGACAAAGGAGAGGAAAGTGTGTGAAGAAACAATGTAAATAACAAACTTAAAAGAACAGGGAAGATGTTGAGATTGAGTTCTCGATTAAATCTGCAACAAGGGAGAAAGCTTTAGTGAGAAGAAGAAGAAGAACAGAGCAAAGAGAAGAAGCTAGCGAAGAAGAAATTGGTGTCGTGAAAAGAGTGGTCAACGACACAACAAGAAGAAAGACACAAGTCAACAAGAAGGAAGAGTTGGGCTTTGTGTGTGTTTTGTAATAATGTTAGTATTGGGCTATTAGTTAAATTAGGCCCAAAGAAGAAAGAGTGCTGTAGTTAGTCTAAAGCATAGCTAAGGACTATAGTAGTTGTTAAGGTTGCTTGTGTAAGTAAACCTTAGGCAATGATGTCTAGAAGTAAGTCTAGGTCCAAGTAGAAGTATGGGTGCAAGTGTGTGTGGTAAGTGGAGACAAACCACTATATGTATGTGTTGTTTGTGTTGTGTAAAAGTATCCTTTGATCCAATAAACAAGATGTAGACAATTAATGTTTTTCTCTCTTCTCTCTTACCAAACGTTTTATGTCTTTTGTGTTAAAGGAAGAAACAACCAAAAGACTAGAGAGAATGAGAGTTAAGGTTCTCTTTGTGCTTGTGTTAAAGTGAGTGAGTGATACAAAGCATTAAAGAGAATAAAGAGAGAAAAAAGATGGTGAACCTCTAAAGGTTAAATAGAGGAAGAACCTGAAATTACAACATGGTATCAGAGCTTACTTGATCTTGGAGCCTGTCCAAGGATGTCCACGGAAGAAGAAGTTGTGAGGAAGATGGAGACAGCCATCAAAGAAGAAGAAAGCTGGCCGTTAGAAGATGACGGCAAAGATGAAGAGATGATGCAGCCCGAGAAGCTGCTGTAGGAGAGAGACGGCAAAAAAAAAAAAAAAAAAAAAAAAAAGCCTTAGAAGAAGAAGAAGAAGAGAGTGAGACCTTGAGTGGACCTGAGCTCAAGGCAAGAGATTTAAATCTTGAGTGGACCTGTGCTCAAGACAAAAGAAGAGAAGAGCCTGCACAAGAAAGAGAGGTGTAAGGCTGAAAAAAAAAAAAAAGAGCAAAGCCGAGACTAAGTCGAAGAAGAAAAGATGGAAAGAAAAGGTGGTGACAAGAGAGAGCACCATCAACCTAAACAAACACTTTCACAACCGTACCTTAAAGAAGGAGGGCTTCAGGTGCATCCAAGTAGACGTGGAGATCTTCTGGAAGAAGCAATGAAGACAACGGTGTGGAGATGGTGTTGTGAAGGAGTTTTCTGTTCTTGCTCGACAAGTTTCGGTGAAGTTCAATAATGCTCGTTGATGTTGAGAATCCATGTGATTCTTCAGCTGAAACGAGAAGGAGAAGGAGAAGCCAAGGTTAGAGAAAGACCAAAGCCAACGGTTCAAGGAGTCAAACAAACTAAGTCCGAGAAAGCGGAGGTTGATGATTCAAGAGCCTAACAAGCTAAGGTTAGAGAAAAACCGAGGTGGAGATTCAAAGAACCAAACGACTAAGGCAAAGAAAGCTAGGATGAGACTCATGGAGAAACCTAAGAGACTACGGTAAGAGAAGCCGGGTGATGGTGCCAGAGTCAAAAGTCCAAGGCTAAAGCTAAGGTGATGGTTCGGAGAATCGGAAAAAAAAAAGGAGAACAAGGCTGGTGATCACAGTGACACCAAGCAAAGAGGAAGCTCACCACAGTGGGAGCTGAAGCCGGTTGCAATGTCAGCCGAGCAAGAGACATGACGAGTGGTCATGGAGAAGAAATTTAATGAGAACGTGAGGAGAGCTCACATAGAAGAAGACTTGGTGACATGAAGAAGGCTCAAGGAAAGGGTCGAAGTGTTACCTGCAAGAAAAGAGACTTTGGTCAAGAATTTGATCAAAGAAAACAGAGGGAGATTGCGAAGAAAACCAGCCAAGAGATGGCAAAAAATATTCGCAACAAAAATGGAAAGAAAAGGGTTGGATCCATGGGGATTCAGCTTAAGAGGGAGAAGAAGAGCCAACTTACGGAGATAGTGGTGGTTGAAGACGCGGCGGAGACTTTCACCGTGACGGTGACTGGTGATCGGTGAGAGTTGTGACCTCTAGCTGTCGTTGGAGAAGCTATGCACCACTATAGAGAAAGAAGCTCTATTAAAAGGAATAGAAGCAAGAAGAAGATGCTCGCCGAAGAAGAGAAGAGAGGCGATCTATCGAAGAAGAAGAAGCCACGGGATTGAAAGCCCTAAAATTGAAATTGGGGATTTAATCGAAGAACTCAAGAGGGAGTGTTGAGATTGAGTTCTCGATTAAATCTGCAACAAGGGAGAAAGCTTTAGTGAGAAGAAGAAGAAGAACAGAGCAAAGAGAAGAAGCTAGCGAAGAAGAAATTGGTGTCGTGAAAAGAGTGGTCAACGACACAACAAGAAGAAAGACACAAGTCAACAAGAAGGAAGAGTTGGGCTTTGTGTGTGTTTTGTAATAATGTTAGTATTGGGCTATTAGTTAAATTAGGCCCAAAGAAGAAAGAGTGCTGTAGTTAGTCTAAAGCATAGCTAAGGACTATAGTAGTTGTTAAGGTTGCTTGTGTAAGTAAACCTTAGGCAATGATGTCTAGAAGTAAGTCTAGGTCCAAGTAGAAGTATGGGTGCAAGTGTGTGTGGTAAGTGGAGACAAACCACTATATGTATGTGTTGTTTGTGTTGTGTAAAAGTATCCTTTGATCCAATAAACAAGATGTAGACAATTAATGTTTTTCTCTCTTCTCTCTTACCAAACGTTTTATGTCTTTTGTGTTAAAGGAAGAAACAACCAAAAGACTAGAGAGAATGAGAGTTAAGGTTCTCTTTGTGCTTGTGTTAAAGTGAGTGAGTGATACAAAGCATTAAAGAGAATAAAGAGAGAAAAAAGATGGTGAACCTCTAAAGGTTAAATAGAGGAAGAACCTGAAATTACAACAGAAGAAGAACGGAAAACTAGGCCCTTTAAAAATAGGCCATGCGAAGAAGAACGAAAAAAAAACCTTGAAGCAATATAAGGAACCTATTTACCTTGAAGCAATATAAGGAACCAGATTTTGAAGTCAAAATCGAACCCTCTATATCAAACAGAAGGTTCAATTCAGGTTATGAGACATGAGTCGGATTACCGGTTTCATCATAGATTATCAATTTTAAAACGCGATTTTATGCTTTTAAAACGCATTTAGGCAGCATAATTGATTTTAGTGAATTAGGTGGAATTGTATAAAATTGGGTGGAATTGTGAAGAATATAATGTGTGTAGGAAGAAATAGGTAGATGGTGAAAGTATAAGGTGAACCTAATTGAAACGATCTATTACAGGGAGACTGGGGCAAACAGCCCATTTATCTTCTAACAATAAGAAGAAAGTGATAATGTAATTCTATAACTAAGAATGGTTCTAACTTCTAATTTTGTTGGATTGATAATCCAAAAGAGAAGGCAATCCAAATTTTTTGTTGTATATGATGAATAGAAAAGGAAGAAAAAGTTGTTGGTTTGGCCCAAATAGATTTTATTTGTTAAAAATTGTAACTCTGACTGCTTACTACATATTTATAAAATTTTATATACTAAAATGTATATACCGAAAGTATATAAAAAATTTATAAATATGTAATAAGCAGTCAAATTTATAAATATGTAGTAAGCAGTCAGATTTACAATATCAATATAAAATATCAGTTTCCGATTAAGAGTTTGTTTTTACACATCAATTTTTTGAGGCTAAAGCTATTAGTCAACAAAATGTTTTTGCAAAGAATGTTAGCCTAAGTTTGGTATAATTGTAGAAAGTCGAAAACATAAATAGAAGTTAATTGGCATCAACAAAGAAAAAGAAGTTAATTGCTATATGACCACATATTCTAAGTCAATTATTAAATGCATAATGGGCAATGATAAAAAATAAAAGCATGCACGTAAATCTAACAAGAGACATCTTCAATTCTTCATGCACGAGTTTTTATTCCATTTCAGCTTTCCAACAAAGAAAGAGAAAGCAAATAATCGCTTTAACCTTTTCTTAAATTGCAAGTTAACGCTCGCATTTAATCATATTATTTATTTGTTCCTCAAAGAAGATGCAAAGGGAGAATGTAACCTCAAAGTGGTCATAATCGGCGTATTTGTAACATTTCGATTTCAGGAATATGGTGGTACATGCAGAGATGTTTAAAAGAATTGATTTGGTCATTTATATTATCAAAATGCACCTATCTTTTCAGTCAAACGTTCTAAGAGAACTCTACAGTTAAGCGTGTTGAGGTGGATTTCAGGATGGATGACCTTCCGGAAAGTGATTGTCGAAACCGTATGAGTGAGGACAAAATATTGTGAAAGATCATGTGATGATTTGTAGGATCGGTAAATTAGTCTTTAAAACCTCCCGGACGTAACAGACCAACCGTTGGACAGGGATGGAGCCCACAGGTCCAAGAATAGACGTGGATTATCACTGATAGGAGTAGTCGAGGTGTTACAATATTGATTGACTGTTACTTCAAAGTGGTCATAATTGGCATATTGGTTGAAGATAAATACTTTTTTTTTGTTTAAAGTTCATCTTCTTAAGAATGTTAATTTTTTCTTGTCAACAACTTTAATTAATTTCGCTCAAAAGAGTCATTCTTGGGGAATATCGTTTACATAAGTGATTGGACCCCTTGCTTGATTCACTCTGCTTCTGATACTGAAAGAGAGAGAGAACATCTTATCCAGATGTGCTTTACTTGATGGAAGTGGATCATGTTCTACATCCTGAGGGATAGTGGATGTTTTCTGGACCATATGTAGCATCAAGGGTTAAATCCAAGAACCAGAAGACAGATTCCAAGGAGTTGCAAAACTAGATAGAGCAACTAAATGATGTTTTAAGAAGACTTTGTTGGTTGAAGATTGCTGAAAGTTACCCGGTTGTCATATGGAGAAAGCCTTGTAATCATTTGCAGTGTAGACAAAGGCTACAAACTCTTAAGTTTCCTGGATTCTGCTATTCTAGTGATCTTGACGCTGCATGGTGGCCTTACTTTCCCCAAATCTAATTTCCTCAGCATCTTTAGAAGCCAAAGCTTGATTCAGTTACATATTTTGTTACAAAAGATACAAAGATATGGAGTCGTGCATCACTCCTCTTCCAGATGTTAACGACACACACAACTATTGCCAGCTTCAATGCTGACACAAACTTGTGGCACACAAGAGTTTTGTACTATGACACCAAGTTCTCAGCAATGGAAAATACAGAAACATCATTGATATGAACGCTGGATTAGGCTGTTTCGCTGTAGCCTTGAACAAATATCCAATGTGGGTTATGAATATGGTTCCATTTGATCTTAAGTACGATCGTCCCCCTGGAACTTAGATAAACTGGTAAAACACTCAAAAACGTTCATATATCAATCATCTAGTTGGACCTCTCTTATACCTTCTCTTCTGGTTTTTTTTTCAGGTGTGAAGCTTTCTCTACATACCCTCGAGCATATGATCCGATTCATGCCAATTGTGTGTTTAGTTTGTACTTGAACAAGTAAGATCGGTCTGTAACATTGAAAAATTATGATTTACATTTTCTTGTAATCAATGTGTAATGGTTTGTTTTTTTACATGTTTTTTATGAATTATGATAGATGTGACATTATTGATATACTCTTGGTGATGCAGAGGATTCTTAGACCATAAGGCACAATTGTAATACGAGACCATTTTGACGTTCTTATCAAAGTAAAGGCGATAACCAATCAAATGAGATGGAATGAGACAATATATGTAGACAAGAAAAGTGGTTTTGATCATGGGACAATACTAATAGTAGATAATTCAGTTATGTGAAGACTTGCGAGTTGTGACTAGTTGCATAACACGTGTTTGTTTTCCTATATTTTTGTAACTAGTGGGCCTGTTTGGGCTTTTATAAAAATATTGTGCCGAGAAATTTTTATTTTATTTGTGTAAGACTTTTTTTAGTTGCCATCTCTAAATGCCAAACATGTAAATTTTGAATTCTATTTCCAACATACTCTTTCTTTCTCTAAGTGTCGCATCTCTCACTAGTTCTTGGCTTCTCATCCAAGTCTCAATTCACTAGGAAAGTTTCTCAATCTGAATTCGATGATTCAGGGAAAGGGAAACATTTCTCCTCAAAATCCTCTCAATCCTAATTTTCTGGGATATGATTTTGAATTCTTGGGTTTTTAATTTGGGGTTTCCAATTTTGAGTATGAAATCATGGTTTTTAATATGTGGGTTTCATACATAATCAAAGCCGAATTGATGCTTTATAAGTGTTTTCCGTTTATTGCTTAAATTTCCGATTTTTAGGGATTTTAATTTGGGGTTTCCAATTTTTAGGTTTTTTTAATAATTCAATTTCTGATTTTTTAGGAATTTTGATTTGGAGTTTCCGATATTGATGTTTTTAATATATATGGGTTTATGGAATATAATAAATTGATGCTTTATAATGTGTTTTCTGTTTTTGTCTCAATGATTTCAGGATATTATTGTTACCCATTCATTATATGAAACGCGTGAAAAGAGGAGAGCCGTGGTTAGATTAATTTTCCTCAGCCAAAGGATATCACAAGCCTTTAGAAACTGAAGAAAAATAATCAGAAAATTGATATCCGAGTACAAGTAGAGGGGATAGTCTTCTTGTCGAATTGTCTGCCTATGAAAAGTTAGATTCCTCATGGTTGTCATTAACATTTGCAGCATCACAAGCCTTTTCTTTGAAATTGTTGTGGCTGGAACAGTTGATAGTAGCTTCATCAAACTGATGGTAGACTATAGAGTAGTAAGTGGTGGAGATCTATTGGGAAGCTATGTATCTTACACTGATGAGAACACACTTCAGATTTCTGGTCGGTTGCACGAGACCAAAAAAGCTTTTACTCGAATAGTTAATATGCTTATTAAAGATGTCTTCGAGAAGGTTGTTGATTTTCATAAAAGTGAAGATGAAGTGGAAGCAGAAGAAGTTGACTTTGGTTTTGTTCATCGCAACTCTTTGAAATTGCTGTGGCTGGAACTAATGATCTTAGCTTCATCAAACTGTTGGTAGACTTTAGAGTGGTAGATGCTGAAGATCTATTTGGAAGCTCTATCTCTTACACTGATACTGAAGTTGAAGTAGAGGAAGTTAGCTTTGGTTTTATGCTTTCAATTTTATGTTTGAACGACTTGTACAAACTTTGCATTTTCGAAGAGATAAATCATATTAATTATGCTTTCGATTAAAAAAATTGGTTTTTGAAGGCGGCAATTTGATAGTGGTTTGAGATAATAAGAATACTTGAGGTGAATGAATTTATTTACATCGCTTGTGACAAGGATTGTTGGGTGCTAGTCTCCAAATTTGTGTTTTCAAGCTCACTCTCAATTAGTCAAATCCAAAGACCATAAATACATTTAAATTTGAAACTGTTCATCCAAAAAACAATAACAACAAAATTACCATAGAATAAAAAAATCGCTATGTCATTAGCAGATTAGGTGCTATTCAACATTAAAAATTCCCATCACATTGTCAACAAAAAGTTTGACTCTACAATTCAACATTAAAAAAAAAACATAATATACATGATATTGCTAATCTATATATATAATAGTGTTATGTATGATTAAAAATTTTGATTTTAAATACAAATGAATTAATATTATAAGTATAAAACTATGAAATATGTTATTATGCGTAATAATATAAGTTGAATTTAGCGAAAAATGTTTAAGATTGATAATATTTAAAATTTTAGAAACATTTTTGTTTTAAAATTGATATATTAAAAATCAATATGTTGGATAACTCTAAAATTGTATGAAAGTTGAAAGGTCATATATTTTTCAGTTTTAAAAATATATATATATATATATATATATATATATTGATGAATCTTATCACATACTTAAAATCAATATGTTTGGTATTTCTAAAATTATATGAAAGTATTTTCTTTGTTAGAAAGAATGGAAGTTGAGAGGTCATAAATGCATTTCATATTAATACAAACATTATGCACTTATTAAAACTATAAAACAATTATTTAAGAAATATCAAAAATAGGTAAAAGAGCACAATGACAACATTGGATTTTATAAAACATAAACAAAAAAAAAATAGTAGATTATAGAAATATCCGAACTGGATGACAAAATTAAAGAAAATTTTGTTTCTATAATCAAATTAAAGAAAATTTCGCAAATGTTTGATTAAATAAAAAAATAGACAAAAAATGAAAAAGACACGAGCGAATAAAATCACAGTGATTTTCAGTGTTTTTTTCCCTCGTTACAAAACAAAATAGCTCTGTCTGAAAAAATAAGCTTTAACTCTCTCTCTCTTACACTGTTACTGTCGTCTCTCTGTCTCTCCATTAATCTCCACTGCTCTAAAATATCATTAATTGCAGAAACTCTCTCTCCAGTCTATCTCTTTTCTTCACCCTTAAGCTCCTTGAGCTCTGTTAGATTCTCTCTAACTCCATTTCTTAATTGTCTGTTTTCTTGTTCCTCCAGATTGATAGATCTGACAGTGAACAATGTCGAAATTAGCCAATTAGGGGTTTTTAATAAAAGGGTCAGCGAGAAAAAAAAAACATGGAAGCAAGGATGAAGAAGTATAGCAGAGAAGTGAGTCCAGAGAGAGCAAAAGTCTGGACTGAGAAATCACCAAAGTATCATCAAAAGATTAAGAAAGTTCAAATTGTTTATTACCTCTCCAAGAATCGTCAACTTGAGCATCCTCATTTCATGGAAGTGTTGATTTCTTCTCCAAATGGTTTATACTTAAGAGGTAATGTTATTATATGCTTAAAGGGTTTGTGAGATTTTGAAAGAATTGTGAAGAACTCAATTATGTTTTTTTTTGGGTTTTGTTTTGTAGATGTTACAGAGAGGCTTAATGTTCTTAGAGGTAGAGGAATGGCTTCAATGTATTCTTGGTCTAGTAAGAGGTAATTTATATAACTTTCTTGATTTCATTCATTAATCACTTCTTTTGAATCAAGAAGAGTTTTTGGATTCAATGTTTTCTTGATTTTGACTTGCAGAAGCTATAGGAATGGTTTTGTTTGGCATGATTTATCAGAAGATGACTTGATTTTACCAGCTAATGGGAATGAGTATGTTCTTAAAGGGTCTGAGCTATTTGATGAATCCAACTCAGGTGAAAAAACATTTTGTTTTAATCATTTGGTTTTAGTTTCAATGAAGAAGGCTAATAAAAACCTATGTTGTTGTGCACAGATCACTTTAGTCCAATTGTGAACTTAGCGAGTCAAAACATGAAGCAGATAGTTGTGGAGCCACCATCATCTAGAAGTATGGATGATTCGTCTTCGTCTTCGAGTATGAATAATGGGAAGGGGACTACTAAGCATTCTCAAGAAGATGATGAGCTTTCTCCTCCAGCTCTTCGCTCTGTTTCCTCTTCTGGTGTATCGCCTGATTCAAGAGACGCGAAGAACTCGTCTTCTTGGTGTTTGGCTGAGTACAAAGTGTATAAGAGCGAGGGGCTTGCGGATGCTTCTACGCAAACCGATGAAACTGTGAGTGGTTGTTCTAAAAAACCTATAGAGACTTTTAGTAGAGGTGTTTCAACTGATGAAGATGGGTCATCAGAACCTGAAACCAGCGAAAACAATATCGTGAGTGAGGCTTCGTGTGCGGGGAAGGAGAGGGAGAGTGCAGAAATATCAAGAAACTCTGTCTCGCCGCCTTTTTCCAATAGTGCATCTTCGCTAGGCGCAAAGACTGATACATTGGAGTCTCTAATAAGAGCTGATGTTAGTAAAATGAATAGTTTTAGGATTCTTGAACAAGAAGATGTTCGAATGCCCGCTAATCCGAGGCTTAGGGCCTCGAATATGCTGATGCAGTTGATATCATGTGGTTCAATATCAGTCAAGGATAACAATTTCGGCCTTGTACCAACTTACAAGCCGAAATTTGGCAACTCGAAGTTTCCGTCTCCTTTTTTCTCCTCGTCCTTTATGATGGGAGATCTTGACCGTTTATCGGAAACTCCGAGTCTAATGGGTATGAGAATAGAGGAGAAAGAGTATTTTAGTGGGAGCTTAGTCGAGACGAAGCTACAAAAGAAGGATGCAGCAGAAGCTAATGCTTCACTTAAGCGTTCTTCATCCTACAATGGTGACAGGTAGATTTCTGAATCACCTGGAAAACAGTCTTGCTAGTGATTGCCTGCTTCTGTTTAAATGGATGCTGTGTTATGTTTTGATGTCAAGACTTAAAACGGTTCGTTTTTTGTTATAGTTATACTCTGTGATTGGAAAGGTTCTTGATTTGAGTAGTAAACTTCATTTTTGTGAATTCTTGAGGACACTTCTCATGTGAGTTTTTCAGGGCATCCAACCAATTGGGTGTAGCTGAGAATGGAGACTCAAAACCGGGTAGTTCGAAATACAATCCAGGCTCGAGAAAGGCGTCTTCTATATTAGGCAAGCAACAACCACATAGCGAGTCCATGAGATCTCCTGTCTCAGAAAAGAGAAGAGACTCATCAGAAGATACTACCAAGAACATTTCATGTCCCACTAAGAGAATAACCGAATCTTCGAGGAAGCCCGATTCATTCAGAGAAGACGATGAGAAAGTTATTAAGATCGACGAAAGGTAAAACATAAACTTCTTGAATCTTGTTCAATATATTGATATGAACATATCATTCTTATCTCATTCATATTCAGATTTATTTAAAGCTTGTATGTATCTTGAACAGGCTTGCTTCAGGAGCACGGGTTAGAATCGAATCGAAAGTGCCTTCAGAGGAGCCTTAACCAAGAGTATGAAGCGAACATTTTGAAATCTAAAAGACCCTTTTTCTGGTTTGTTTTGTGGCGGCAACTTTCTCCATTTTGATTGTAAATCTGGAAAGGTGGTATGAGAAAAAGAGAAAGGGCAAAAAAGTTTCATAAAAAGCCTAAAAAGATTCTGAGAGCACTAAATGTTGGTATTGGGCAGAGAAAAGTTGTAAGTAAATTGATAGAAAAAAGTTTGGTAACAAAAGGTATTAATGTTTTGATGTGATGTGAGATGAGAAAATGGACCACTGTTACTGATTGGTGTGGTCATTGTTTACTGATTGGTGTGGTCATTGGTAGGTTTGGTTTTATTAGTGAATCCATTCCATTTTGGTTTTCAAAAATGAAAGTTATCTGAAAATCTGACATAATACTTTATTGATGTTCATGACTTATCCGCTGTTGTGTTTCTAAAGATGTGCTGATGAGTCACAGCAAAATTGAATTTGTTCCATGTCTTCATAGAGAGAAAAAGGAGTTGTCATATTTTTCCCATATTTGTTGGGGTGAAAAATATAAATTATATGCTAGTTGACATGCATAAAGTTTAGATAAAAAAGAATGTTGTGAAAATATTTTGCTTGATAAGTTTCTGACTTATTCAGAGTTATGTTTATTAAGATGTGATAGGTTACAGCAAAAATTGAATTTGTTCGAAATGTCAAATCATTTTTGCTGTGGTGAAAAAGTATCAAAAATATTTTCGAAGTAAATATGTGACTTAGTTGTGGATAGTTTTGTGAAAATGGAAAAGTTGCATTAGTCAAGGGTTCTTGAATTGTTACGATACTGTGTGAAGGTTTTGTTTTGAGAAGTGTATATGAACTTTGAGATAATGAAAACTTGTCACTTGTCAGTCTTTTAGAGTTTTAATTAACAACGTTTAGGTTACATATAACGATGAATTTACGCTGTATCAATTATAAATTCCACAGTCAAAATGAAATAGTCTATTTAAAAATTTATCGACTTGATTGTCTATTTGCGATTTAACAATGAATTTATTGGTGGTTTGTCTGAAAAATCAAGATAGATTTGCCACAACAGAGTCAGATCACCCACCAATTTTCTTTTCTAGAATTAACATTGAGTGTAATACTTTTTAGAATAAAAATATCAACTGAAAAAAATACAATTACTCTCAATTCTTCTACTTTTTTACCAATCAAGTTGAAAACTTAAAAGAATGATTTCAGTTTGTTTTAGCTAAAAAAAGAGAAAAAGCAGAGTAAACTTTTCCTCCAAAAAAATTAGAGTAAAAGTATTTCAACCGGTTTCAGCTATAATTTACTTTTTCTTCCCTCTACCTATTTAATAACTCTAATTTACTCTCACTTCTTTTCCTCTCCACCATTCGCACCCATTATTTCAGATTCAATTTAACAAAGAATTAACAAAAATTTAGTTGTCACTAATTTTCTTATATGTGTTTGATCAACCCCCACATCATTTAAAGAATTTATCTGACGGCAAAAAAATCTAAGACGATCAATGTTCAAAATGCATAAATGTAGTGATGAAAAGACAAACGAGAAAAAAAAATGGTTGAAAAATAGTATCTTTTATATTAATTTTTCCGTGTTATAGAAAAGACTATTCATAATTATATTTTTCCTCTCAACTACACATAATCATGCAAATACAATTGCCTTATTTAATAGTGGTTTCTCACGAAGTAAATTAGCTAATCGCAGTTATTTTCTATATTTGTTTTTACTAAGATTGGGAAAATATCAAACTATTTTAAAAAATTGAATTTGTTTTTTTTTTTATTGACATTTTAGAAATTGGTCGAGGTTTTAAGGGTTCTAAAATATCCCGAAAATCCAATGTTGCTCAAACGTTCAATTTCTTTAATAAAAGCAACTGCTAGAAGCCTAGAAGGAATCTATAATTGGTTGACTAATTTTTTTGGTTTACAGTTTATACGTGATAAAATATTCCAACTTGATATATTTAAATAGTTGATTATTGTCCTCCCGGCCAAGAGTTTAATATTTTATACTGTCTTTCTTCTTTACTTGAGGTATTTGCGTTTTTTTTAATAAATGTCCTTTGTTTGTTTGTTGAGACAAGAACCAAAACCGTGCATTGAACAGGCTTCTTCATAGTTAATTGTGATTATCCATAAATAATTAGAGCGATGAAATGCTATTATATTCCATCATATAAGAGCCGGCTTAATAATATTATGAGTTTTTTATATATAATTTTTTTTGTGAAACGAGTTTTTTCTTATTTATATAAGATCTTAGTTTTGGGACAACAAAAAAAACTTTCTCATTTTGGAGTATTTTTAAATAAACTAACATGAAAAATTGAGAAGAACTTGAAAAAGTTAGCCGCATTAAGCAGATGAGAAGAGTTATTAAGCAGATTATGGGTAACACATGATTCGTGTCAAAATGGCATCAAATGAGCATAACCATAACCAATGATGTTAATGCTTTGTCCGTGCCAAAAAAACAAAAATAACATGCGGTGGTACCATTCAAAATTCCGAGATGAGCTAATTGTTAACCGCATCTCGAATTAGGTTATCGTTAAAAGGGAAAAAAAATAATCAACTTACTTAACGAATCTCATACGATTTGATTGACCTAATGATCACAAAGCAAACAAATTTAAACTGAATCAACTTCGCATAGACAACAAAATCCGATAAACGCCTTCTAACTTATGTTGAGTCAACCTCGCATAAACAGTTAGCTCGATAAATTTTTATTTTGATAAATTTAGCCCGATAAACATATTTTTTTGCACAATATAAAGAGTACTGACATTTTGTACGTCTAATATTATTTTCTACATATCGAACTCAAACTAATGCTTATGAACATCTTTTTAATACGGTCTGATCGATTTATTATTTATATAGCCAAAACTCATAAATATACATACACTAAATTAAACAATTATATAGTAACAGAAAGTGGATGGATAAACTTCTCTTCTGATTCCTTTCATACACTGACATATGAAACTATTTTTAGTACTTAAGAACCGATTTATGAGAATGTTGATTACATTTATTTATTTTGGGTTTTGCACTCATAGCAAAGAAAAACATGGTATTTTCTTTTATTTTTTAAATAGCAAAATAATTTTTGAGTCATTTGGACAGATTGAATTTCAGCTATTTTAATGATTTTATCTTTTTATTTAACTGTTATGGATAGATGATTTATCACAGTAAGATTATACCACACACAGACAACAAAAATATCAAGAAGAGAAATTATTAGAAATATCACTTTTATGATACCACTTTTCAAAAATATTACTTCAAGAAAAGTTTTTCAAAAATACCATTATATAACATGTCTTATAAATTTTTTGTAAAGTCTTGTAAAATTTTGTTAAACGTGAAATATTCTATAATATTTATATGTTCTTGTTTCTAATCTGCATTCCCTCCACCACAAAAAAATTCAAATGATAAAATATAATTAAGAACGAATGGGGAACATATAATTATCATGCAACACGACAAAATAATCATTTGAGTAACATAATTTATACATATAAAATACAGGTCATGCATGACATTATCAAGACGTACACTGAATAATCTAATAACAATATTATATAATTTTTTTTCTTAATTGATTTCGTAAGTTAATACAGTTTAAATCATACCCTAAATTTTGAAACATCACTATCTCATTTTATATTTGTTACTACATAAATAAACTCATTTTATAGAATTAAATAGTGTGAGACACAAAATTAAGTGTATTTATATAAACTCATTTTGTGTCTCTTTCGTTGTCAGAAACTTTCGAAACAGTCTTTTCTTCATTTGACAAAAAACACAAAATGGAAGGAAGAGTCAACGCTTTGTCAACCATAAACGATCTAGAACTTCACGATTTCTTGGTCGATCCAAACTTCGATCAATTCATAAACCTCATACGAGGTGATCATCAAGCCATTGACGAAAACCCAGTTCTTGATTTCGATCTTGGTCCATTACAGAACAGCCCATGTTTCATAGACGAGAACCAGTTCATCCCAACACCTGTCGATGACCTGTTCGACGAATTGCCTGACTTAGACTCCAATGTTGCTGAATCTTTCCGTAGCTTTGATGGTGAGAGTGTTAGAGCCAACGGCGAAGAAGAAGAAGAAGATTACAACGACGGTGATGATTCCTCTGCCACTACGACGAATAATGATGGAAGCCGTAAGACGAAGACTGATCGGTCTAGGACTTTGATCTCTGAGAGAAGAAGGAGAGGTCGTATGAAGGATAAGCTTTATGCATTGAGATCTCTTGTTCCTAACATTACTAAGGTAAATCATAACATTTTCAGACACAAGATTTGGTAATGAAACTGTGAATAATGATGATGATGTGTGTATAGATGGATAAAGCATCTATCGTTGGAGATGCGGTGTCGTATGTTCAAGAACTTCAATCACAAGCCAAGAAACTCAAATCCGATATCGCGGGCCTTGAAGCTTCTTTAAACTCTACTGGTGGGTACCAAGAACCTGCTCCTGATGCTCAAAAGACTCAACCTTTTCGCGGTATCAATCCTCCGGTTTCCAAGAAAATCGTTCAGGTAATAACCCGAAGAACCAAACAATCTTCTTGAAACATCAAAGCCTTGAATATTTGTGTGTTTTGGTGTGTTAGATGGATGTTATTCAAGTGGAGGAGAAAGGGTTTTATGTGAGATTGGTCTGTCATAAAGGAGAAGGTGTTGCTCCATCTCTTTACAAGTCTTTGGAGTCTCTTACAAGTTTCCAAGTGCAGAACTCAAACCTAAGCTCTCCTTCTCCTGACAGATACCTCTTAACATATACGTTAGATGTAAAGTAACTTGTTCCCTTCTAGTTTTCTTGTTTATAAGTCCCGAATATACGTGCACTAACCGAGTTTGGTGGAAACAGGGGACATGTTTTGAACAGAGCTTAAACTTGCCTAACCTGAAGCTGTGGATCACTGGATCACTTCTAAACCAAGGTTTTGAATTCATCAAGCCATTCACTTGATTCCGTAACGCTTGCTCTAACGTGAGTGAAATCCGGTTCTGCATCCCTTTGGTTGTGTACTTTTCTTGCATGTTTCATAACTTCCAGGGATCTAATTTTATATCTAGTGATGATGTAATCGAGATTGTTGATTCTCTATTTGAATAAACACCGTCTTATAGAGTAATTTAGTGACAATTTGTATGGTTAAATGAAGTAATTTTTATGTTTTGTTTATAATCTCAAGTCTTAAGTTTGTCTTGCGTTGATATATATTATGTTTTGGTTCATTGGCTATATTATTGCTTTGTTGTTGCTAGACCAGTCACATCTTGATTCTATGTATTGTTCTCTGTTTGATTAATAAAAATAAAGAATTTTAACTCCGAGAAAGAAGTACAGACGACCTACATGGATCGCCGACTCAACTCTAGGAACCTAATTTGTGCTTTGAATATCCACAACATGGTAAAATGAAGGATCCTAATATTGCTGCTGTTGCAAGACCAAGACAGATGCCCTTGAAGGAAATTCCTTTGACGCTACATCTCTTATGGCTCCAAGTTCCTCAAACTCTGTCCATTCATTCAATCTTTTTGTAACCGTGCTATTCATTCCGCTACTTCTTCCAACTATAAACAAATCATAGTTGGATGACATTGCGGAAGCAAGAGCGGCAAGAGAACGCCAACGTTAAAACATTTGAATCTCTGAATGAGAGCAGATCCGAGTGGAGGCCCAGCCAGGGTAGCCAAACCGATAACAAACCTGCCATATGTTGAGAACTGAAAGAAATTAAGACAAAACATGTAAACAAAATATGCGGTAGCCATAAGCCCATAACCAAGTAGATGTAGACATCTTTAACCGGCCTGCCTTCTGGAGTCTTTTTGATAATCCATAACATAACCGGCCATACGATGTAGATCAAGAAGACGATAACGAAAACGATAACCATAACATGTGGTAAACCTTTTTTTCCTTTTAAAAGAACGGTCCCGGAGGCCATTATAAAGATTACTAAGTCAGTGACCGCGGCACAAGACTGAACCATTCGTCCAAACTCGGAATGGTTGATCTTGAGATCTGTCAAGAGCCCATTCACACCAGCAGATGATGACAAACTTTGCAATATTATGATTTCTTGGTACTGAAGTTCCGCCATTGCCAACTTCCCAAAATGTTTCCTAGTCCTCATTAGAATGTAACCGGATATACACGGGATGACCACTGTAGTAAACCCGATTAAAGCAGCCCTCGGTTCGGTTTTTATAAGCATCCCAACGTCTATAGACACGCCTTTAAGGTTCAAAACATTCTTCAAAGTTTTTCTTTCTGCTCTACAAAAAATAATAATAATACACAAGTAGCAATGAAAAAACCAAATAAAATGTGGTCATACATTTTTATTTTCTTTCAAACTTTTGTTGTAGATGCTACAAAGGAGAGAGATATATGTAACAACAACAACCAAAAAGCATAAATATGCTTCTCCGCTTCTAATTATTATTGACTACCGTTCGTTGTTGTTGCACTACTAACACCGATGTTTTGCTTGGAAAATCCGGCGAGGCCAAGAAATCACCAATGACTCCAAGCTCCTCAAACTCACACCAATTCTCTATACCGCTAGTCGCCTCGTGGTTTTCGCCACAGGTTCTTCCCACGACGAAAAGATCATAATCGAAAGCCATGGAACGTAGAAGCATTGACGTATCCGCTCCATCCAATATCTCTTGTTCCAAGTAAATTGTTGATGTTTCTTCATTTACTGTTCCGGCATCGTTGCTTTTCATCAACTCTCTTAGTTCCACTGTGTCAAGCATTTGATCCCATCCTGTTGCTTCTTTGCTCTTTCCCGATGCCAGGAGGCGTAGAACTGTTAATGTTACGTTCTCTTGTCGGGCCATTCGCTTCGCAAAGGCCAGCGCTTCCCTATCGTCTTTTCCTCCCACGAATATGGTACACACCTGTCATCAAATAGCTCCGTGTGCTTAGTCTTTCTATATAGTTAAAAGCGTCTACAACGACCAACATGGGCGAATAGTGGATGATACTTGACTAACAAAACGAGTCCTCAACCACTAGACCACTATGGTTGGTTTTTAAAGTGGAAATAACAAAATGTAATTGCAAGTATACCTTAAGGCTTTCTTGCGGTTCTTGCTTTTTGTTAACGAGATGGCGTTCGATAAGAATGCCAACAGAGCAAGGAGCTTGTTTCAAGACATTGATATTGAGAAATCGGGTCATCTCAACGTCGGATACAATGGATGTTCGGTCAAGTGACCAAGTCCGGTGGAAAGGAAGAATGATAAGTGTGACAGCTTTATCAAGAGCTAGCCAACAAATATCATCCTGCATATGGTTCGCGTTTGCAATGCAAGTGAATGTGTCTATGGAAATGGAACTGCAGACATAACGGTGGAAATGTTCAAAAGAGAGGATGACGTTTTCGGAATATTTCTTTCCAGACCCGACTCCGAGTTTCTGAACTTTGTGTGAGATCAAAGTGGGAACGTCTTGACCTTGTAACTCGACGAGGTGAAGCACGTAGCAAGTGAGAGGGCTCTCTTCCGATTGATAAGAAGCTTCTAAAAGGTTGATCATGGAAGATATGTGGTCTGGTCTATGGATGCACACAAGAGTCTTTAGCTCTCCACTGTTCTTCATACTCGCTAAATTTCTCTTTTGGTAGCACATGAATTGCTTAGATGGATCGTAGAGAAACCCGATCACCACTGGTATGAACACAGAGTTGATGACAATGGACAAGACTAGGATTGAGAATGTATCTTTGCTTACCATCTGTACCAAATCATCAATCAGAAGAAATACAAAATGAATCTTTCTGTTTTTTGTTATTTGCAAGAAATCATAATCATGATCAAGAATCGAAAGATGAGAGACTAACCACGAGGCTGTAAGAGAAAAGGTAGAAGCTGAGTTCGATAATACCCTTATGAGACATGATAAGGGCAAGGATAATAGAATCTCTCAACGGCATTTTATAGAGGTAAGGTACAATCACTGAGACAGAGAGCTTCAACAAGAAGATGAGCAAGATGAGAGACGCAACTGCAAATTTCTTATCATCGCTGCTAAAGAATGTCAAACAGCCTTTCCAAGAAGTGATATCAGTCCTGAGCATAATGGCTGATACGTAGAGAGGCAATATGATACCAAAATTGAAGCTCTCTAATCGTTCGATCAATGCAGATCCAATAGGAGGTCCATTGGGAATGGCGAGACCAAGAAAGAAGGCTCCAAGTGGAGGAAACTGATTGAGATCTTCCCAATACATACAAGATAAGCAAACCAAGACGAGAATCCCGTAGATGTATTTGTCTTCGATTGGTCTCCCTTCTCGTTTCCGCTTGATTACTTTGAACATTAACGGCCTCACAACCGCAAACGCAATGACGAGAAATAAGGATATCTCAAAAAGTATAGACAGACCATCACCAAAAGAATTTGCAACTCTAGAGACGTTCGCCACCAAGAGCAGGAGTCCAGTTATATCAGAGACTAAGGCTGAGGATAAAGCGACCCGGCCAATAGATGAATGGTTCATGCCGAGGTCGCGCAAGAGTCTTGCGATCCCCGAGAAGGATGTGATGCTTTCCATTAGCAGCATTATGTCATACTCGTTGGTACTGAGCGGTCGATTCTCAGCTGATTTGAGCGAGTAAAGCAAGAAGCCAACAAGTATAGGGAAAATAACCCCTGCAACTCCAGTGACTCTTGCTTTTGCTTCAGCCTTGATGATTCTCTTGACGTCCATTTTCACACCTTTGAGGAACCAGAAAATCAAGAATCCAAATGATCCAAGGAGTGCTGCTATGTCGACTCTGTTTTTGGTGACTAAGATCTCCCCAATGAGCGAGTTGTCTCCCGATAAAGTAACTACAACATTCAAGAGTAGCCCAGCCTTCAATGCAGCAATGATTTTGTCAGTAGCAAACACACAAATTTTGAAGAAAAAGAAAAAGAAGAAGAAGAAGAACTCACGAGCATCATAGAGGAGAACTTGGGAACAGAAAGACGTAATTTCTTGAACAGGATATTAAAGGCTTGCCAAAGGAAAAAGACGAGCAAGATGACAATCTCGAGCTTCGGAAGACGATAGTGCCAAAAATAAAGACCTGCCGTTTTCACAATAAGTTTCTCCCAAATACCATCTGAAGACAGCTTAGGGGGATGCTCCTCGCAAATCAACCCATCGTCTCTTACAGTTTCACCATACCAAGCCATCTCAAATATCCATCTTACTTCAGGACTCATCTCCGTAACCTCACCGCCAACCATTCCCGTCATTACGTCGCCGCCACCTCCCATTCCCATCATCTCGTCTCCGCCTCCACTAAAAGCCCCCGACATCCCGGGTCCTGTGCCATTCCCCATATCCATAACTATAAAATCTTATGTGAGTTCTTGTGAAAATGGGGAAGACGATAACAAAGAAATGTTGGGTTCCTTTTGAGAGTGAAAAAGGAGAAACAATTTGTAAACAAGGGCACACAGATGTATATGCTGTTAATAGCTTATGCCGTTATAAAAAACACACTTTGGACATCTATAGACATATGTAGTTTTAGACTGTTTTTGAGTTGTTTCTCCACTATAAATAGTATATGTCTTCAGCTTCTTACAAGTTAAACCATAGAAGAAGTCAACTAAGAATCTACCAGAAAAAGAAATTTCTTTAAATAAGAAGATGACTGTCTTTCTATGAAAACAGCTTTGTTCACACAGAAGATAGGAAACTTCAAAAGCACATTTCTCTGGATTAAACAGTCATCAGATCTGGCTGAGATGTCCCAATCTCAGAAACTTGTTTCAGCAATCATGGCTGAGGTTTGCACTGTCTCCTCTGCTCTCCAAGCTATCTGAACCAGACCAGTAGACCATCTTACTCTATTAAAACTAAAAGATTTAACAAAATTTGAAGTAGAGGCCACAAGGAAGAGTACCTGAAACGTGGCTAGTGACCCTTATCACCTATCTGTTCACTCTATGCTTCAACTTTTTAAACCCGACTTCAAAAGCATCTTATAGGCAACTGAAGAATCATGATACTGCGTGCAGATACCGAAATAAGTGGAATCTCATTCCCCATCAGATAATAACTTACCGAGAGTTTCTGGTTCAGAGGAGCATGCTCGGTGCACAGCATGGGAGAAGCATCGCTGTGATGATAATTTGAAAGGCGTAGACAAATTCACATCACGTCTGGAGTTTTTCACCGAGATCGTTCTCTTTTGTTAGAAACTGAAGCACCGTGCCCTTGACAATCCAGGCAGTTTTCTCAGGTTCTTGTGCAGACGGCATAAGAGGAAGTTGTGTTCCATCTTCAAGTTGCACACCGTACACAAATGGCAATCTTAGAGAGAGAAAACTATCAGGTGGTAAAATCACTGGACATCCAAGGCTAAACTGCAACTTCTGTTCACGGTCAGTGATGGAGAGAGGTAGACATGACTCCTGAAGTAAAGATAACGTCAGCGGTTATGTGAAATTCATGAATATCGACCAAATTATAGGTTAGAGCATGAACGTGAAAAGATCCAGTTACTGGGTTCTCAGCACAGAAATAATAAAGAACTATGAACCATCTCTAGAAATAGCTTATAGACGTGTAGATTAGTCTGAGATAAAATAGTTAAGCGTAATGTTTTCTGCTATTCACAAGACATCATTCTGTAAGATATTCATTCCTTCACCCAAGGATGAACCTAAGCTCTCAAAGTGCGAAAAGTACCTCAAACTTTATCACTGGACAAGTTGCCAACACTACTGGAAACTGAGGCGTAACCTGGAAGCAAAACGTTTGCAATAAGAAAATTTAATGTGACATGAATTATTGTAGGCACAACGTAAAAACAAATTAAACACCTCAGGTACAAATTTCACTAAGGAAAAGTTGCTACTTCCATATCTTACCAGAAAGATCCTTTGAAGCTGCGATATTGTACCCGCATACTTGATATCTGAAGAATCTTTCTTTCCAGAAGCAGCTGAGCAATGTGGACAATTCATAAATATCGGCAAGTTTCTATTCAGCATAGAAAAAGCTACCCCAAAGTCTTCAGCGTTATTATCTTGGTTATTGGCCCCAAGGTTATGTATATGTTGATTGATGGGTTCACTATCAGCTGAATTTCTATTCCCTTTTTTTCCAGGAAAAATATTATCTTTTGAGACCACTTGGTTTGACCTGTCCATGTTTTTCATCCTATTCACTCCAGAAGCCATCCTATTTGTCTTTCGGCGTCCTTTACCATAAACAATATTTTTCTCCAGCTTTGAAGGTTCAGTCTTAAATTTTGAACTTTCTGCAGAATTAGGATCAAAATATTCTTCAGGGACAGAGTATGAAGGGCCAAGCTTAGCAAGATGCTCTGTATTCAATAAAAAGCGATGACCACTGGGGCACTCGTGCTCAAACCCTATGTAAGCAGTCAGAGGTTTCTGCACGGGGCTTGACGTAACCTTCTCAGCAACTTTCAAGTTTACTGGCACAGGATTACTACCATTTTGCAACGGAAGGTCATTGCCTGTCGCAGATATGCCTCTAGACATGCCTAAGGTTTCCTGATCACGAGAAATGTCCTTAAACTCTTGACATTCTTGATTACAAGCATCCTGAACGCTCTCTTCACTCAGACCATTCCAAACCTTTTGCTTGACAACCTTTTCTAAGGCCGGAGGAGGGTGCCTGCTCGGTTGAAGGGGAGGAAATAACAAATCTGTACTCTTTGATCCAGCAACAACCTCGGAGAAAGGCTTTCTCATTAGTAAATTGGGAAGACCTCTACCAAAACTAATTTTCTTGTCACCAATACTACCATTACCAACAGATTCTCCACGTGTCACTGTGGCCAAGGTAACCGGTGCAGAATCAATGTTAGTTCTGATTGTCTTAGCCATAGTTACATTTGCCCTAGATATACAAGCTTTCTCCGATTCCCCAACCAGCAAATCATTTGGAGCATCATCTTTCTGCGAAGAGAGTATCAATTTTAAAAGGAACTTCTGGATTGCAGAAAACCCACTTTGAAGTAAACCTTTTGAGGGTTCATAGTATCTCGAACCACCAACTCGAACTAGACTCCATGAAGATGATATTATAGGCCCTGCATGAGCTATTTCAGGAAGCTTAACACTAGGAAGAAGTTTGTCACAATCTGGAAAGCAGTTAAAAGAAATATTTGCCGAGTCAAAATCAAAAGGATCACAACGTAATTTCCGTGATCGGCCACAAGCACATGCGTGAAGAAAAACATAACCACTGGAATGTGACATGATTTCCGCCCCAGGGAGAAATTGCTCGTCCACATTGTGCCTCTGGTGGACACATGGTTTACCGGTTTAAACTGGTAGCATCACAAAGCTGCCTCCCGGATTCCCATATGGATATGCACTCATCCTGTAACCTCTTTGTGAAAATCTGCACTGAGGGTCCTCTGACCATTGAGCGGAAAGTATATAAAGCCTTTTGTAGGTGTGCTTCATGCACTAAAGTAGGATAACAGGAGGGGAGATCTTTTAAATACACGTCTTTAGCAGCCGGAAAGGCTCTTTCACACCATAAGGATGAAAACTTCAAATTCAGACCTTTTCCACTTCCTAACAAAGAGACAGCAATATCCAAAGTTTCTGGGCCCTTAGATGACCTTGCTTCATCTTTCACAGGGGACATGTTTCTTTCACGAGATTTCTTCTTGCGTAGGTCGATTTCATTAGTAGACACAATTTTCGCAGTTATAATTCCATCTAAAATTTGATGACTGCAAGAGAGCCATTCATCCAATTGTGGCAGCTGTGGTGCACTATACGTTTTTCTGGATCCAGTTGAGGCAGCTGCTGTTGCTGCTGCAACTGCGACCATTCCGACGCCAGCACTACCTGAATTAGCAGCCAATCCTCCTTTACCTCTTAAAATATCAGAGCACCTGTAGATGAACTCTTTCACACATAGCACATCTTCTTTGGTAGACATCTGGCAATTGTTTTCAAGCAACAGAGAGTCTGAATTAGCCTTTCCATTTAAAACATCATCAACAAGAGAAGAGGCAAACTCCAAAGCCTCTCCTTTCTTATTTGATCGGTCTAAGAGAATAACAGCCTTTGATGCATCCAGCGAAAATAACGGTGCATAACTCGAAATGCTCCCACTTCTTGAACCAACATGATTGTTATCCGAACCTGTGAGCGTTCTGCATTTCTTGATCAAAAACCTAACTTGTGCTTCGAGAGATGATTGTAATTTTTTCCTCAACCCCCCTTCAGATTTACTTCCTGGGCGAGATAAAACAACTACAGAACCAGAATTTTTCGTTGGTAACTCCGACCTAGTAAGCTTTCCTGTGTTCACAGACTGATCATTAGCAGATGAAGTGGTTGTTGAATCCTCTACACTAGAACTGGACTTCAACATATCTGAGAAATCATCCAAAAACACGAATAATGTGACAGGATTACACTGTCCAGGGAACAGAGAAGTGTAGGAGCCTCCACCAGACTTGAGAGACACAGACGAACCACCCCGACTTACAATCCCCCCACCTCTCGACGAAGCTGAGTGTACTTGTGAAAAATTATTTGACGATGAATGAAGTCTTGATGTCAAAGGTAAAACTGTTTGAGACCTAACAAATGGAGCTAAAGCTTGTTTCGAAGCTTGCAAGACCCGAAATTTCTTCAAAAGCCGAGTATCAAATCGCGACCCCTCCTGAATGTTTATGATAACATGGCAAACCTGCATTGCTAGAATCATTAAGAAACTAAACAAGACAACTTCTGCTATCAAACCAAGATGCCTACTCTAGTTCTTTTCCTCATCAAGATGTCTAAACTAACTAAAGACAAACCGATATAACCCACATTGTTAATCCAGCTTAAAAAACAATTCTCAGCGTCCTAAATCAATCCTCTATGTTCAAAATACTCAAAAGTTCCTATCTTTGGTAACATAAGTTGCAATTGAAGTTAAAGATTGATGCTTTAGCTAAAGAAAAAAACTCACAGAGAACATAAATAGCAAACCCTGAAGATCACCAAACTCTCGTTCCTCCAAAACAGAATCAAAACCCGAGTCAGAACTCGATAAAGCAGGGCAAAGGGTAGGTGAGAATTGCACAAAGACGATTCCTTTATCCTCTTCGTGGTAATAACAAATCTTCCGGAACCTAAACCAATCTTGAAAATCCGGTTTATCAACGGTAAGGATCTTGTTCAATTTTCCAGAACCGAAGACGTTGTTGTCAAGAACTTGGTTAATAAGGTGTGATGAATCGTCTGGTCTTCGTGAGAGGAAGCCTACGACGACGACTCCGGTTGAAGAAGAAGGGAGGGGATGATTTGATTGAGAGAGTAATTGAGGTGGATCTGGAGATGGAGGTGGTGGTGAGGGACCTACCGGCCGGCGGATTAAGCCGGGGACGGGCGGTGGACGAGGGAAATTCATGACGGAGCTCTGTGTTGTTTGTTTGTCAGCTCTGAGTTGGGGTTTTTGTGTTTTCAACAAGTTTCCATTAGAGAGGGACACAAATCAGACAAAGCTTTTGCTTTTGGGCTTAGTTTTTATTGTTTTGTCTATCTTTGGGCCATAACGGGCGGCCCATTAGCTTATTTATAGAACTCCTCATCGAGATGATGTCGGTTTTGTAGACTTATTTTCATTGTTATTCGGTTTACAAGTTTAAACTAAAACATTGAATTTTACCAATCGTTAATCATTTAACTCTTAGCGTATGTAATCTTGAGTCTATCACCATACGTCCATACCTAAAGAAAGTACTCATCTAGTTGATTTAAAATTTATCTAGACTTCGTGAAGATTTAAAAATTGAGAAACTAATAAATTTTGTAAAAGAGGTTTTTTTTTATATGGTTGGTTTATGGTCGGTTTGCATCCATGATTTGGCAGCCTACTGAACCGGTTTAGTCTTGGAAAAATTACCAAAAACCATTAGTATCTCTTTAATTATGACATCAATATTTATGTGGTTTCTCTTCCTTTATCTATAAAAATATAATTGTAGAGAGACATAAGAGATATCTTTGTGACCATTGACACAAAGAAAAAAATCTAGAAAGATAAAAAAAACGTTTTAGAGAGGAAAAGCTTTGAATGATTAACTAGAGAGACATACTTAAACGGTGGCTTACTGGCTTGTAGTTGATTTTTGTCTATGACCACAACCTCGATCTGCATCGAGTCTTAGATAATTTATATTCAAATTTGTCTCTAAACCAACCAAAATATGTGTTTCAGTTTAACGTTTTCGTATAAAATAGTAACATATACTCCCTTCGTTTCAAAATATAAGACGTTTTAAGGTATTATTTTTGTTTCAAAATGTAAGATGTTTTTAAATTTCTATGCAAATTATATATTAATTTAATATTTTTTAATTATTTCACCAAAAAAAATATATATATATATTTTCTAATTATTTATATTATACAATCTCATTTATGATTGGTTGAACTTTTTTAAAGTAGATATTTTTAATATGCGTGTTTTAAACTAAAACGTCTTATATTTTGAAACGAAGGGAGTAGTTAACTTTTTAAGAACTAATTTGCCAATAAAAACTAGCAATAAAGTGAAGAAAGAGTCTAATAAAGTATGAGAGTCTAATAAATAAATCAAATTTAAGTCCTAAAGTATGTTTTGAACTAAAAAAAAAAAGTTCTAAAGTTGGAAAAATGTTAAAGCACTCAAAAACCAATTTGTATTTGTGTGGGCCGAAACAAGTCACACCAACAAAACCTCATCTCTCAATCACACTATTTTGCCTACTCATTTCCTCCAAACGTCACAAGCAAAATCACAGCAGCAGCAGCCATGGCTGCCACCAACACCATCCTCGCATTCTCATCACCTTCTCGTCTTCTCATTCCTCCTTCCTCCAATCCCTCTTCTTCTCCCCATCTCCGTTCCTCTTTCCGCGGCGTCTCTCTCAACAACATCAACCTCCACCGTCCCCAATCCGTCTCCTTCTCCACCAGAGCTCCGTCTAAATCCTTGACTGTTGTTTCCGCCGCGAAGAAAGCTGTTGCAGTCCTCAAAGGTACTTCCGATGTCGAAGGAGTTGTTACTTTGACCCAAGATGATTCAGGTCCGTCTCTCAAAATCTCCAATTTCTCACATGGGTTTCTTCTGATTGACTTGATGGGCATGATTAGGTCACTCTTAGTGTTTACTCTGCTTCATATCTGATCTTCGATTTCTTCAAAGTTTCAGACTTTTTCTGCTTAATCTGCTTCACATCTGATTTTCGAATTCAAAGTTTCAGACTTTTTCTGTTTAATCTGCTTAGTTTCGTTTGAGTCACATTTGTTAGTGTTTGGTTCTCACTGCTGATAAAGAAAGTGATCAGCTTTAGCCTTTAGAGTGTTTACATTAATGGTAACTCTTACTGATTTCAGTGGTTCTGTGAAGTTTACAAAGTGATTAGCTTGCTAATTTTGACTATGTAGATTGTGTAAGTGAATGGTTGTTTGATGGCAAGCAGGTCCTACAACTGTGAATGTTCGTATCACCGGTCTCACTCCAGGGCCTCATGGATTTCACCTCGTAAGCTTGTTCTTCATCGGATGAATGAATTTTGTGTTCTTCTTATAGCTATAATGATGTGAGTATGTTTTCTGTTTGATTTTATCAGCATGAGTTTGGTGATACAACTAATGGATGTGTCTCAACAGGTTAATTGCAATATACCCCTATGGCAGATTTGTTTGATACCCATATATTGTGATTTGCCGAATTCTAAGACGATATTCTGTCTTGTATTCTTTTAGGACCACATTTTAACCCTAATAACATGACACACGGAGCTCCTGAAGATGAGTGCCGTCATGCGGGTGACCTGGGAAACATAACTGCCAATGCCGATGGTATTGCATCCTCTTTTCAAACTTCCAAATATTATTGCTGCCATCTTCGATAATCTGAAAACTGTTTGAACTAAATAATGCTTTTGTAACAACAGGCGTGGCAGAAACAACACTATTGGACAATCAGGTTGGTGCTATCGCATGTTTTTCCTTTAATTAGTATTTTGCTTCTCATATACTCTCTTATAAGAAGCTTTTGTTTACTGTGAAATCAATTTTGCAGATTCCTCTGACTGGTCCTAATTCTGTTGTTGGAAGAGCCTTTGTGGTTCACGAGCTTAAGGATGACCTTGGAAAGGGTAAACCATAATACTCTTACTTTAGCTTTGGATACATCAATTGCCACCGGTTACGTTATTCTTGTGGCCTTTGAAATATTTCCTCTCTTTGGATTTTGTGTAATAATTTTATTGACTTGTTAGTGAAAAGGATGGCTCATTCCAAGCTTATAAAAGTCTCTAAAGCCAAGTTATGAATCTGATCAGTCTCTTTGATTTGACAAATATAGGTGGCCATGAGCTTAGTCTGACCACTGGAAACGCAGGCGGGAGATTGGCATGTGGTATGGTTAAACTTTCTATCCCTACGACTTGAGCTGCGATTGTTTGAAACGCCATTAAGTGTGGTGTCATTCGAAGAAAAAAACACTTTATTATAACGCTTAATCGCAAATTCAGACTCTCTGTTTCGGCATCCTCACGAGTTATATTGGTTCTTTCGCAGGTGTGATTGGCTTGACACCGCTCTAAGTCTGGGCTAAGTAAGCACTCTTATGTCTACTATGTTGGTCTTGTCTGTTTGAATCAGATGTCAGAATCTTAAGCAAATAATGTTTGGCTGAATAAACTTTTGATGTTTTATGTTCATTGCATCAAACTCTCTTTTTGGATTTGTGACAGTGATGTGATACTTTTGATACAAATTTGCACTTGATCGTTTTAGTACATTTTGGTTTATTTAGCATCCTTTTATGCAGTTCAGAATTTTGTGATGATTTATGTTTTTGATCTTGTTTTCAGGTAAAGTGACTTTAAACACAGTTTTAAAGAAATTGATAATAAGCATAATTTCACCAACTTGTTGTTATTGTGACAAAACTGAAAACTAAACACGTGAAAAAAGTGAGAAATAAAAAAATAGGTGTAAGCAAATATCTTGAGCTATAGGGATGTGAGTGATTTAAATTAGAAAGTTTATAAATGGTAAGAGTTGTTAAAACTTAGAACATGTGAGTTGTTAAGTGTTAAACTAATAAAATTAAATGATAAAGTTGTTAGAGAATATTAAAACGTCTAGAAGTTATTATTTATTGCAAAGTCGTGGGTTTATCTGTCATCAAATTGAAATTCTACAATTTTAGAGAAGAATTGTCAATTGTGATCTCTAATTCGATGAACATGTGATTCCTCCATAATTCACGACTCGGAAATGTTGTTTTTAAGCATGTGATTCTATCATGTAACCAACAAAGCTAGCCAGAAGCTACGTATGATTGACTTCGATCCACTAAAGAGATGTGTATCCTTTTTGGTTACATGAAGTATTCACTAAAAAGATGTGTACCGATCATACAAATGTTAATAGCCAATTCAAACCATTGCGAACCAAAAAGAAAAAGAAAATACAAACAATGTGTAAACTATGTCAAGTGAGCAAATGATTACCTCCTATTCACCTCCCAAAAATTATGGAAAAAAACATGACTTTTGAATTAATTTGATTTTGTTCAGTATCAGAGACAAATCATTAACTCTCTTGCTTACTCAACAGTGAACATTTTTTCCGGAATGGAAAAGGCGCCGTCACTCTTTTTTTTTTTTCATTTAAAGTTTAGTTTTTTATATATACACATACTTTTTTTTGGTTTAAGAATATAAACATAGTTAAAATGATAAATTATACTCCCTCCGTATTTTAATAATTGTCGTTTTAGAATTTTTATTTTTTTGAATTAGATGTCGTTTTCAAATTTCAATGCAAAATTTCTTACTTTTTAATGTTTTATGACATTATTAAAATACGGAGGGAGTAGTAAATAATTATAAAGATGTAGTAAAATGAGGATCAGCTTACCCACTTGGTTGGTCCAATTTGTATGTCTTCCAAACCGTCTGTCTGTTACTTCAACTACCTTATTAATAAATAATATAAATATGTTCCTATTACATCAATAATTAACTTTGCTTTTTCAAAATTTCCCTAGGCAACTTGTGATCATATAACACGAATATATTTCTTTCTTTTGACATATTTTGGGATCATTTCATTGATAAAGTCTCTATGACTTGGTTCGACTTATTAGAAATTGGAATATGCAAATTGTATTTTTGAGTTGATGAGCTTAGCCAAGTGCCAGACTATACACATAGTTATCAATTTATCATCCCATGTTTTTCTAAAAAAAGAAAGACAAGAGAAGTTTTGTGGATTTTTCTGACACAATTGATGTGACTTCTATTTATGGGTTTCAAGAGTTTAAGATCTCATTTATTTATTGGTCCAAATTTTTTTTTAAGTTAGAACAAGGAACAATAGACTGATAACTTACCAACGTATGAACCGGTTGCTCTCTCTCTCTCTCTCTACTAAACCTAAAATTCAAGAAGATTCCAAATCTTGGTTTAGCTAGAATCTCCAAGATAATTATCACTAAACTATGCATCACAAAATCAAAACCAAGCCTTAAAAGACTTAATACA